ACAGCAAGAGGTGGAGTGAAACAAGGAGGGCTTTGCAGTGTTGATGGAGACAGAGTGGGAGAGAACAGGAGCTGATGAGGCAGGAAAAGATGGAGAGGCCATGACAGACAGACGGACAGACAGACAGAAGAGATAAAGAGAAATAGGGAGAAATAAAGAGAGAAACAGGAATCTGAAGCAAGGGGTGGTAAGAGTCAGGTTAAAGAAAGTCAGGAGAGGGAGTGGAAGGAGAGGAGGAGGAGGAAGAGGAGAAAGGAAGAGGAGCAGGCAGAGGAGAGGGAAGCCAGGGAAGCAGAGAGGGAAGAGAGAGCAAGGAGGAAAGATGGAGGCACGGGCAGGAAGCAGAGTGAGTGTGGGACCCAGGGGCAAGGATCTCTATGAGGCGCTGAGAGGGGCTGTGGAAGCAGAGTGGCCTGGGAGGCCATGAGCCCTGGCGGGAGCCTCACAGCAGGCCTCCCTGTACTGGAAAACACCAGTCCCTCACTTCCCCCAAGTGGAAGTCACAGGGGGTGACTTCCTGGAAAGGGGCTGCTCTGCTCTGGAGGAAGGGAGCCTGGAGCATCATCCTGACTGCTCAGTGCCCTGCATGTTCACTGCGATGCAAACCAGGAGCCGCGTGCATTCAGGACAGTGAGGACACAGAGCCCTGGTTCTCCCCTCCTGCCACCCAGGCATGCTGACGACGGTGAGAGCCCAGCCCAGGACTATGGTTAGCGCAAGGGGAAGTGTGTCAAGGACCCACTTGCAGAACACAGTATGTCTGCCGCTGAATTCTTTACCTGAGTTGTCTCATTTGCTTTACTCCACAGTAACTCCATTAAACTGAGAGGGTTTGAACTAACCAAGGCCTTTCCGGAGGCTGGAACTTGACTGGGCTCCGCCTGGGACACAGACTCCAATCAGAGCCCTTCTGGTCAGCAGAGTGAATAGTCAGTAAGGTGGAAAGAAGACCCTGCCCTGTGCAGGGATGGCCTACATGCCCCAAACCCACAGAGACATTTTATCAGTCGTGGGACACGGGACACAGGCCACCTCGACCCTGCTGGCCCCTGTGATCTCAGCCACATCCTCCACTTCCGGCTGTAGGTAGGACGATTTGAACTGCATGGCCTGACTCACCTAGGACGATCCCCTTTCTTCTGGAGAAATGGCACTGATGGTGATGGAGGGCTTGGCCATGCCAGGGTGAAGCCGGCCAAGGACAAGGTGGCTTTTCTCAAGGTTGCGAGTCCACACAGTGGGCCGCACCGTCTTCCCATCCTGAAGAGGGGAGCAGGTGCCTCTTGCGGGGGAGGAAGAGGTTATTATTAAAAGACAAATGGATCAGTGTAGCAGCTGGTACTGAGCCCCAGCCAGGTGCCCGGCTCTGTGAGGGATGAGCCACAGCCTGACCTCATGAGCTGCTGATGTCCTGAGGGTCACACATAACACGGCACAGGGCACAGAACTGGCGGTCGCCATGATACAGCACCACCAAAGGGCCCCAGGGTGCAGAGGCGGGAGAGTGAATCTGGTGGGAACAGTGGGAGGGTGGGGAATGGAAGGAGGACAGGAGGGGGGCTGCCATGGGAGAGCTCCCGAGCTCCTGCAGAAGGAATAGAAAGGTCTTCCCAGCCAGGCAGGCAGGAGAAGCAGGGACGGACGAGTGCTCACGCGACACTCATGGCGGGTGCATCCTTCTCATAACTTCCTACCCTTTCCCTCTGCCCACTGGAGCTCTTTCCATTTGCAAAAGATCTACCTCGCTGTTTCCTGTGATCCAACTCTTCTCTGGAGCACAGCTCTTTACCCGAGTCCTCTCGTTTGCTTCACTCCCCGTTTCTCATTTGAGAGGCCCCACTCACGTAGCGAAGGTGTGAACCTGAGGCCTTCTCCCACTGTCGCTGGGACTTAGCCATTTGCATGTAGGAAGCAGACTCCAGTCTGAGGCCCTCTCCAGTCCAACGCTCTGAGGTTCGGAGGAAGCCCACAGCAAGTGAGCTTTGACTCAGGGTTCTTCTATCGCTCCAGGAGCCCTTAACCCTGAACTACATCCCAGCCCTTTTAATTCTGCAACAGAGTCTGCCCCCGCCTCCAGTCCTCACACTGTCAGAATTCTGCATCCCACTCAAACCTGAAGAGAACATTTTCTTTCCCCTCTGATCTTTATGCGAAGACTGGCCACAAGGTGGAGCCTGTGCCCCCTCTGCCGGCTCCCACACTGCCCAGCACCCAGCAGTGCCCACTCCTGCTGTCCTCCCCTCTCCTCCTGGCCTTCCCCTGGCCCGTCCTGCTGCCTCATGTGTTTCTATTTCCCACCATTTCCCTCTGTTCGAGAGAGTTCAGCTCACACATCCGGGCTGGAGCTTTTGCTCTGACTCTTCTGTCCTGCTGACCTGGCTGGGACCGGTAGGACAGTTTCTGTGCCAGACTCACATCCTCTGGGACTGTTGTCTAAATTACCTGAGACATGAAAGAAATATCTGCCTCCGAACTGCAAGGGACCAACAGACCAAAGAATAGGGATAAGTCCGGCTTGCGAGTTTCTGAGCTGATCAGGGCTCCCCAGGCCCCCAAACCCCTGTGCTAGGTCATTGACTCCACAGGGCATGGAGTAAAACAGCAAAAGCAGGACCTAAAGAAAGAAGGTGTCATGGGGAAAGTTGTGTGTGTGCTCTGCTCCCGGCCACTCTTTACCAGGAGACTGCAGGTCTCAGAAAGTCCTATGCAGCCGCAGTGGCGGAGGACCCTGTTGGGCTGCATTCTGGGACACAGTCAGAAAGGAAGGAAAGTCAGCAGAGGCTGGGGCCTCAAGCAGGGAGATCGGCCTGCAGCCTGGAAGTTCTTTGAAGGCAATGTCACCCTCTTCTCAATGGCCCCAGGAGGCCCCACTCAGAGCCCTTGGCAGGCCGGGGCCCCTTGGCTTTGACACCAACAGGGCTGCTTGCCGGTTGTGCTACCCAGGGTGGTCTTCTGGTTCACCTGAGAGTGTCCATTGTTAGGTCAGAGCCCATCACGGGGACCCCAGGAAGCAACCTTTTGGTCATTTGTGGACAATGTCACATGCAGGGTGTCTTTCCTCCCTGACACCCTGGAAGGTCCACAGACATCACAGGCAGTAGTAACAAGGACAACTTCGGTCCCTCCTGTCCCGCCCACACCCAGCGCTTCTCTTCGGGTGTCACCACCTGGGTGTCAGCATCGGGTCTACGGGCACTGAACTATCTTTCTCTCACAGAGGGGGGAGGAAGTTCAGGGTGGCTGGAAAGAGGCTGTACCCCAGCAGGGACAGTGTCAAAGGGACTTGGGTCCACCAGGGAGCCTGCAGAAGGAACGAGGTGGGGAAGACCCATGGGCCAGCCCAGCTCTGTGAGGGCAGTGCTGCTACAGGCTGAGGCTGAATGAAGCGGGTGGCCGGGTCCCCACCTGCCCTCACTCACTCCTATGGCGACGACGGTAACAGCATCATATATTCCCGACCACGCCATTTCAGTGCAGCAGAGGAAGCCACCACACCCTGCCCAGGATGGGGGCCAAGACTCCCTCCTGTCTTGGCTCCTAGGTCAGCTAGGCTGAGGCCACACCTCCCACTCTGAGTGCGGCCTGAATGCTCTGCCCAGTGTGAAGGCCACCAGGGCCTGCCAGTCTGTCCTGCAGGCCTGGGAACGACCCTCCAGGGACCCCGCAAGTGGCAGATGGCCGACACTGGGTCAGGAACCCAGAAATAAATGCAAGTAAAGAGGAGCAGGTCATGTGTGCGTGCGTGTGTGTGTGTGTGTGCGCACACACGTGTGTCCATGTGCACTTGTGTGTCTGAGCGTTTGTATCTGCGAGTATAATGTTGGGGTGTGGAGTTTCTGAGGTGTAACCATCTTGGGATATCCCCAAGATCCCTGAAGAAGTGTGCAGGTTGTGCAAATTTATGTGTGTCAGTGTAATGAGTGTGTCTCTGGGGGAGTGTCTCTGATTTGTATCTAGGTGTGTGTTTGTTGCATGTGTGTGAATCTGTGGCTGTTCTGGTGTTCTGACTGCTTTTCGGTGTGTGTGTGTGTGTGTGTGTGTGTGTGTGTGTGTGTGTGTGTGTGTGTGTGTGTGTGTGTGTGTGTGTGTGTGTGTGTGTGTGTGTGTGACTTTGCTCTGGGGCTGTCTCAGGTGTTGCTGGGTTGTGGGTCCACCCATGCCTGTCCAGGAAGCGGGCACCTGAGATCCAGGGGAGGCTGGGCTCATCCTGTCTGCCTGACGCCTTCATGCTTGAGGTGTCTGTGTTTGCCCCGACTGTATCTCTGCACCCCAGAACTGGGCAGATGTTGACGGGACCTCTCCCGTGGGGGGTGAGAAGGGACAGCATGCTTTTCTCCCACCCAGGCTGGGACCCTCCTGTCCCTGCTTCTCTCAGCCCCCAGTCTCTCCAGGGCAGTCCAACCACAGGTCCGAAGAACACGGAGTGATACAACTTATAGGACTGCAGGCCGGGGTGGGGAGGCCCCGGGTCTCTGAAGAAGTTCGAGAAAGGGGGGCTGTCTGGAGAGGGTGCTAGGGGGGGCAGACCTGGGCCCGAGCCTCTGGGAGGGGTTGGCGGGCAGAGCTCCTGGGTCCCCTGGGAGGAATGCATTTGTGGGTGTCCGGGTTTAGGGCTCCTACGTCCCCAGGCAGGGCGAGAGATCTGCAGGACTCCTCAGTCCCCAGAGTCTCGGATTAGACTTGAACCCAGCAGAAGCAGTTTTGGAGGACAAAAAGGCAGAGGACCCATCAGGGAGTGGAGAGACGGGATAGTTTTGCAGGAAAGTGTAGTCACCAGGCCGGAGCGGGCCTCCTGGAAACATAGTAACACATGAGCCATAGCTTCACCACTGCCCTGGAGCCACGCCGAGAACCCTCCCCAGATCTCCACATCCTGGGTACAGAAAGGATGCTTGGACTCCCTGGGATGCTGGTGCCCGGAGTGGGGAGTTAGGGATAATTACAGAGGGCAGGCGTGGAGCAGGGGCTTTGTTCACACAACAGAGGCAGAAAGCCGGGTGCGCTGGCTGAGGCTGTTAGGATTTTATTACCCGAATCCCCAATGCGAGAGCTCACCTGAGCCATCCAAAAGATAGCACTTCAGAGAAGGGTGGGACCACGGCTCTTCCGAGGCCCCTCCCAAATCAGTCTCTTCGCACCCCTGCATACTGGGGAGACCCAGGCTGCCAGGAAGGTGCTGCCCGGGAGGTGTCGGGTTGATTGCTGATTACATCTGACCAAACTCCTTTTTCCGAAGCTCGGCTCGTTTGATCTTGCCAGTGACTGTTTTGGGCAGCTCGGGGACAAATTCCACCTGGTGGAGGAGAGAGAGTCCATAGTGTCCTGCCTTACCTTAGCCCTGCTGTAGTTTCCGGCTGACTCCCAGCGCCCCTCCCATCCAGGCTGACTCCGGAGTCCTCCTCCTGATCCCGGACTTGCTTGAACCATGAAATGTGAGCGGCCCTGAAGCCTGTCACTTCTAGGAGGAGAGTTGGCCACCCTCTCCTTCAGCTCCTGTAGCGTCTGCTCCACTGTGCGGAGGCCGGAGGCTGCCTCGCTGGGGTCCCGACACAGTCTTTGTTGTCAGACACACAGGTCCACCTCTGCCCCTTACTGAAACCTCAGGCAACTGACTCGGGGCCTGATGCTCTCACTGTAACATGGGATGACTGTGCTACAAGGATTAAAGGAAAGAGCAGCGCATCTAGAGACCTGATACCGGGGCCTGGTGCACATAGTAAGTGCTCAGTAAATGCTAGCCAGGTAGCATAGTCTCATAATATGTCCACTCTAAAAGAAAATATTGACTTTTTGATACATGCCTTTTTATTCTGAACCAATGGGATAATGTTATATATATTCTTTCATAGGCCCCCACCCCGCTCGCTGAGGATGGAAATCAGGACTTTCACACTGAGCTATATCCCCAGCCTCCCCCGATTATTTTGAGACAGTCTCCCTAAGTCGCTAAGTTGCCCAGGATCAAACTTGGAATCCTCCTGCCTCAGCCCCCCGAATGATGAAATTACAGGTGTGTGCCACCACAGCTGGTAGATGGCTTCTTTTGAAGAGGAAAACACTATGGGCTGGCTAACTGTCCCCAGCCACAGCCACCAGGCAAGGCAGGTACCACCGAGCCCTGGAGAGGGCTCAGGGAAGGCAGCCCGCTCACACCTGCCCGTCTCTTACCTTCCGCGGGTACTTGTACGGCGCTGTCACCGTCTTCACGTGCTGCTGTAGCTCCTTGATGAGCTGGTCTTGGTCATGGGACTGGAACGGTGGGTTCAGAACAACAAATGCTTTTACCACCTGCAGGAAGGAAGCATGGGTTCTACTGCAGAGGGGGTTTAAGAAGACAGTGTCTGCTGAGAGGAGGGAAAGACGCACTGGTGCATGAGCCCACAGTGGCTAAGCCCCGGGGTTTTGGAAAGCAGAGGCCGAGGTTCACATCCCCACCCTTCCTACTCCTTGCCAGACCTTGGAAAATGCTTTGACCCCAAAGCCTCCCTTCTCCAGTACTGGGGACAGAACCTGGGGCTTTCACACTGAGTTATGTTTCCAGCCCTTTTTCATTTGAGACAGGGTCTCGCTCAGTCTCTAAGTCGCCCAGGCTGATCTTGAATTTGCAAGCTTCCTGCCTCAGCCTCCCAGAATGCGGAGGATACAGGCACGTGTCACTATGTCCTCACTTTCCTTCTCTGTGCAATGGAGTTCATTCCTCAAAGGGTTCCGGTAGATTCCAAGAGAGGCTGCATGTAAAGCAGCCGGCCTGTTGAAATGGCCCTCACACCCCTGTCGTTGCTATCAGCGTCATGTGACTGACACACAGGGCTTCAATTATAGCTCACTTTTTTTTTTTTCTTTGGTAACTATATCCTTGCCTGACCACATGAGCCCCTGTACACAGAAGGTGTTGGGTTAGCACCTGTATCAGGGATGTGTGCTCTGGGGCTGCGTTACTCACAGTCCTCTCCTGGTTCCACCTTTTAGCTGTGGCTCCGAACCCCTCTCCTTCCTCAGCAGAGTATAAGAGGGCCTCAGCGTACTGAGTTTTGCGAGATTTAGATGGACTGGCGCGTTGTAAGCGCGGAGCCTTGCACCTTCGCCACCACCACCCGTAGTGGTGACCCCCTCGTGTAAATACACGCCCAGTCCCCCGCTCCACCCCAGGTCCGAGGCTGTGCTGACCCCAGGAGTGTCCACTGCGGCCTCTTCCGCGCCCCCGCACAGCCAGACTCGACGAGGCCTGCGTCCTCACCTCCCCTCGCGTGGGGTCCGGGCTGCTCACCACGGCCGACTCGGCCACCGCCGGGTGCTCGGCCAAGGCGCTCTCCACCTCCGCAGGCCCGATGCGGTACCTGCGGGATCAACCAACCGCTCTGGGCCAGGTGCCAGGGCTGGCAGACGAAGCTCCAGATTGCACTTTGGAGGGTCACAGCTCCTCTCGGCCAGAGGGCTGACGTCCTGCACGGCCAGTGACCCGTGACTTGTGCTTTGGGCCCCAAAAGTGATGATTTGCACTTTAGTGGTCCAAGTCCGCAGCGTCCCCTGGACGCCTCGCTGCACTGTCCCCGCCGTGGGAGGGGAAGGTTCTGTGTCTCCCAGAGCTCGGGAACTTGACCCGGGCAGCTTCCTGCACCAGAGCTGGAGCTTCCGGGAGCCCCCAACCTTTACCTGAAACACAAACTCTGCATTTTGTTCCCCACGACACCCAGATGCTTTGTTTTACTCTGTCTCTCAGTGTAACGTATTCAAAGTGTAAAATGTGATATTTAACAAACAATGGAACAAATGTATGAAACCCTTATGCCACGCCGCACAGGCAGCACCGAGAGGTGAGTAAACAGCGCTTGTCAATGGGGAGCAGCACTTAGAATGTTCTAGAAAAACTGCAGGGCACACCGGGTGTGATGGACAAATATGGCCTATGTTTAAAATTTTTAAAAAATTACAGTCAAAGACCTATTGCTATGAAACCTCCCTCCCCGGCTTTGGACACACTGGTCCCATTGTTTTTGACACCTTCTGAAGCAGATCTGGAAAGGGCTCCCTCTTTCATGTCTTTAGTTGCACTGTCACGGCTGATCAATATCCTGAATTTATTCAAAACATTGACCTTTCATGGTCATTCTGACCTTGAGGAAGAGCCAGAAGCTGCAGGGCCACAGAGCTGGTGAACGAGGTGGATGAGGACACCCTGCACTGTCTTCACGAGCCTGCTTTTCCGTTGGATGGCACCTGGCAGCAGCAGTCATCGTATTTTTGATCATGCTTTGTAAAGACACTCGTGAAAAAGGATTTCAAGATGTGCTTCAGAAAGTGGCAAGAACAGTGGGATTGTTTGAAGTGAGGGGGTTAATGGCAATGTCATCTTCTTTTTTTTAGACAGGGTCTCACTATGTAGTTCAGGCTGGACTTGAACTCACTATGTAGCCCAGGTAGGCCTCAAACTTGTGGCAATCCTCCTGCCTCAAGCCTCCTAAATGCTGGGATCACAGAGGTGCGTCACTATGCCTGACAGCAATGTGTCTTTTACTGCAGTAAATTTTTAAAAATTAAACATTCATCAGCTATAGGATGAGAGGCGGGGGGAATGGAGAGGGTGTTTTAGAAGTTTACAAGTAGCTAGGAGGAGTAAGTTCTGATGTGTTATTTCACAGCAGGATGACTATAGATCACAATAGTGTATTACATATTACAAAATCGCTAGGAGAGACGTTTTTGAGTGTTCTCAACAGAAGGGAATGCTTGAAGATAAATGTTTGAAGTGATGATATGCTCGTTGGTCGAATTTGACCATTACATAATGTGTAGTTGTATCAAATCACCACAGCGTATCCCATAAATATGTATAATTATTACATATCAATTAAAAATGGTGCCGGGTGTGGTGCCGCACGCCTGTAATCCCAGCACTTGGGAGGCTGAGGCAGGAGGATCGCTGTGAGTTCGAGACCAGCCTGGGCTACACAGTGAGTTCCAGGGCAGTCTGAACTACATAGGGAGCCCCTGTCTCAAAAACAAAAACAAAAACAAGAAAAAAACCAAAGGTTAAGAAAACTTAATTTCTCTGAAATTTTCACGAGAATGGTGTAACATGACTTTTAAAAATACCCAGTCGGGGTTCAGGCTCAGAGCCAGACCTCCCGGGTTCCAGTCTAGACTCCCGCCAGAATTGTCTTTGAGACTTCGAGCAGACGTGGTCCCGGGCCAGTGACCAATTTCCTCACCACGAAGCAGGGGTGGCAGTCGTATCTCCCTATCAGGTTGCAGAGGCCGAGGAGAGCGTTTCCGCTCGGGGAGCGCTCTGTCAAGGTCAGCTATTATTGCTGCTGCTCTGATGTTTCTCCTGCGCCCTTCTGTGCCACGGGAGACCGGCACAAACGTCAACTAAGCAAGCCAAGGCGGCCAAGGCACCATCGCAGTCCTGCCCTCTTCCCTTCCAACTGCGCGACCTCACTCCCTTCCGGAGCGTCGCTGCGGGTGCGTCTCCGGGACAGGCGTGCGCAGGCGCACAGGTCTCTGGGACCCGGCACCAGGGCACCGGGCGCCGGGCAGGCCAGATCCCTGGGGTTTAGGAGGCGCCAGCGTTGACTCGGGGCGGCCACACCTACCCGGAGGCGTTGATGAGGTCGTCACTCCGCCCCAGGAACCAGATGTAGCCCTCCGCATCCATCGTTGCTTTGTCCCCGCAGTTGTAGAAGTCCCCGCATTCCACCGCCGCTGTCTTCTGTGGGTTATTCTGCAAAGAGAACAGAGCCCCTTGGTGGAAGGCAGAGAGTTTAGAGATTCTGAGCTCCCGCCCCGGTGCAGACCTGGCTTTGCGGTCAGCCTCTGACTGCCCCTGGCACTTGCCCGCGTTTTGTCACACCGTGGCGTCTCAGCTCATCACACACAGAGCCGGCTGCTGCCCAGTGAGTGGGCCCGTTGAGCCGGGCGCAGTGAAAGTTTTTAGAAAGAATGACTCATCTTTGTGTGGCACTCTGCTGGAATAGCACTGCAGTTACTCACGTGCATACTGTTTATTTCATCCCCTGCTGTAAATTCTGCATGGACTTGGACGGTTAGGAGGACCAGGACACAGGAGCTGAATGAATTTCCTTCTCCTAACGCTTCTCCGTTTGATCCTCACAGAAAACCTACGAGGCCGCTTGTTTTATAAAATAAACTTTTATTTTTAGATAATTGTAGGTTTGCATGTAGTTTAAAAAATAATACAGACAGAGGCAGGAGGATGGCTGTGACTTTGAGACCAGCCTGGGCTACATAGTAAGTTCCAGGTCAGTCTCAACTACACAGTGAGAGCCCGTCTCAAAAAACCAAAACAAAACAAAGATAATACAGACAAATCCTATGTACTTTTTTTTCCAGGGCAGTACTTGAGATTGAATTCAAGGCCTTAGCACTGAGCTACATCCCCAGTTTTTTTTTTTCTTTCTTAATTTGAGACAGGATTTTGCTAAATCACTAAATGGGCCACAATGCGACCCTCCTGCCTCAGCCTTCCAAAGTGCTGGGATGCCCTGTACCACCACACACAGGCTACTCTCCGCCTCCTCCTCCTCCTCCTCTTCTTTTTAAGAAAACTGACTTTTATTGGACAGTTTTTATGTCTGGGCAAGGTAGAAAGTATTAGGTTAACATGGTAATCTAGACCTTGTCTAGGAAAGACAATCTGTTCTTACAGCAGGAAAATGATAAAAGCATATCCAAGTTATTTTTACTGTGATTCTCAAATGTGAAATAAATGTTACAGTGGCAAATAAAGACAAACTCACTACTTTGAAATGTTGCAATAGGTTAGGATTGAGACTTCTTTGAATTACATATTTTTAAAGAATTACGGGGATGATCATAAAAGTCTGAATTGTGTGTTTTTAGTAAATTTAATTTATTTTATTTATTTATTTATTTTTTGGTACCGGGGATTGAACTCGGGTCCTAGCGCTTGCAAGGCAGGCCACCGAACTGCTGAGCTAAATCCCCGGCCCTTTTTTTTTTTTTAGTAAATTTATTTTAAATGCTAGTTGTAAAAGTTGATGTTTTTCAGAAAAATAAAAATTTTAAAATGCTAACTTTTGTTGTAGCATGCTTGCTTCATGAATCTTTGAAGAATTTTAATCTTAAAACTATTAACAGTACTGTTGCCAGCTTAGTAACTCCTGGAACTGTGAAGGGTGACTGTAGTATCAGTTGATGTTCTCTATCATGGCTATTGCTAGTACAAAATTCAAAACAAATTTACAGTTACTGAAAAGGTCAAGTAAGGTTCCAAATTTGTAGGGGGTGATGGGATACACCTTTTTTTTTTTTTCCTCTCTCACATGGAACAGAAGAAAATGACATTATACCTTTTCTTATCCTGCGATCCCTAGCCATGTTCTTTAACTAAAAGGTTCATTAGACTGTTTTTGTAAATCATTACCAAGTATAACAGAAGAAAAATTTTATGGGGGAAAAAACAATAGGTTTTCTGTCTGTAGAAGTAGCACAGTGATAAAAGCACTTATCTTGAGACAAAAAAACTGAAAGGTGATTCTTTGTTCATATGCTAAGAACCATTATTGCAATGAAAGTACATAGAAATGTCTTCTAAAAAGTATGTATGTAGTATGTTACCCAAATATTTTTAAAAAGTTGGCCAATGAGTTCAGATATTGAAAGTATCTGGAAAAGCTGCATACCAGCAGTAGCTTTCAGATTAATTCTGCTGTTCATAGTTCATTTAACTTTAATATACATTAATAATTGGAACTTGTAAAAAGTTATTTATTAAATTTTTCTCTCCTATCAATAGCTTGTAAATTTGCAGCTCCTCCGACACTGTTCCTAAAAGACCTCTTTCATTCTGGAATGCTTCCTCTAAATACAGCTCTTTTCCTGACAAACAGATTTTTTAAAAGCTCTAATGACTTCTGGCGGCCCATTAACAAACTGTGTCAGCCACGCTTGGGCTTCTGGAGATTTCGTTTCATCTGAAGACTGCAGGATCTCTTCGACCATTCCTATACTTAAGGCTTTCTTTGGACCCAGTCTGATGGCCCCACCTAACACCCTGAGAACTTCTCTACTACCTGTGATTTCAACCAGCTGGCCGACACCACCCCAGCTTGGAATTATTCCCATCTCCTTGTGGACAAAGCTGATCTCGCTCTCCAGAGCCATTAACTTGAAATCACAAGCCGTGGTGAACTGCGCTCCTCCGCCCTGCGCTCGGCCTTGAAACTGGTGCAACACTTGAAGGAAGTCTTGAAAATCTTGTTCAGGTCCACTGCATATACACAAAGCCATTCCGGCCTCTGGAATCGCTAGTGCGTTCACAGCATCCAGATCGGACCCTGAAGAGAAAGAGTTTTTGGCCCCACGAACACTGAATAAGCTCTTTCCATTCTGTCCAGTTTTCCAATTCAGTCACTTTTCCCAAAAGGTGTAGCATTGAAGCCCCTCTATTTTTCTGGTATTATGTGCCAGCAGGCTGTACTGACTGGCATGCACTCACAGCCTCCGCTACTCAGGATGGTGAGGCAAGAAGACCACTTGAGCCTAGGAGCTTGGGACCAACTTAAATTAGCACAGTGGGTTCCCAGGACTCCGAGATTTAAAGGAGAGCGTCAGAGACACAGTCCTGCACTGCCCTCCCCAAGGCTCCCAGGGCAGGTGCCCGCATCCCTTGCTCAGTGCGCCTGTGCGGGAGCTTTGCAGGGAGCCCACGGCGTGGACAGGCAGCTTTGGACTCACAATTCTCTCGGAAAGACGCTAGCAACCACCCTACAGCAATATTTCCAGGACCAGTTCCGAAGAACCAACTGTATCCCACAGTCAAGTCTCCGAGAACGTGGAGCCGTGGACCCCAGGAGTTTCTTCCGCTTCCGGGAGACCCTCTTCCGGTGCCCTGCACCCACTTCCGCTTTCCGACTCTACTTATATGAGGCCCACCTTTTCAGGCCCTGTGTATGGTAAGAGATAAACACGTGGTATTTTTCTGTCCCTGGATTACTACAGTTACATAACGTTCTCCGATTCTTTTCATATTCCTTCATGGACGTTCTACAGATGGAACTGTACAGTAGGGAACCTTCCAGGACTGGCTGTTGTTTTAGCTCTTCAGTGCAAGTCTGTGGAGATTCATTCAAGCTTCTGTATTCATCAATAGTTTGATCCTTTTTACTGCTAAGCAGAAGTCCACATTGTGACTGCACTTCAGTTTTTGTTTATTCATTCAGCTGTTGAAGGAAGTCTGGGTGGTTTCCAGTTTCTGGCTGTTCTGAATAAAGTTTCTGTGGTCACTTGTGTGTTCAAAGGAAAGTGACTTCGTGTGAGCATCATGTTATTTGTAATTTGTAGCCTGTTTTACAGAAGAAGAAACTGATGTCCAGAGAATCACTAAAGTGGCCTTGGTATTTGAATTGAATTCTTGCTTCATAGTCTATTCATTTGACCCCTGAGCAAGCTCTCTTGTACAACAAGAAGCAATTTTAAGAGGTACCTGAAAACCCTGCAGAAACAACACACCATGTGCAATTTTGGATTAGATTTCAACCACTGATTACACCAAGGAGATTATTGGCTTGGTGTCCACATGCTTTAAGGAGCTTTGAAAAGCACCAAGATGGAGAGTAAGCTTTGGGACCAGAGCTTTCAGCAGGAGTAAGGTCTAGTTGAAATTGAAAACTTGTTTTTAAAAATTCTAAGTATGGTTGTAAATGTCTGATTTTGGCAAATGATACTGTTTTCAATTTTGATCCTAGATTAACTTGTCAGAAGCAAACATTTTCAGACAAAGAGTTGATTTAAAGAGAAATATAAATGAATTAGGTGTTTGTTTTTTGAGACAAGGTCTCTGTAGTTCAGCCTGGTTTGTTTGTTTGTTTATTTATTTATTTATTTAGAGACGGTCTTACTATGTAATTGAGACTGACCTGGAACTCACTATGTAGTCCAGGCTTGTCTCGATCTCACAGTGATCCTCCTGCCTCAGCCTCTCAAGTGCTGGGATTACAGGCATGCACTACCATGTCTGGCACTAATTTGATGCTAATATGATGGGTGATCAAAATGTGAACATTTAAATTAAAAGATCTATTACAATAAAAGACATATGGTCATTAATCCACACCCCTGCCTTGAACACACTTATTCCATCCTTCTTACCACTTTCTGAAGCAGTTCTGGAAGTCGTTTTTCATAAGTGTCTTTATAGGATGTGGTAAAAAGAAAGGTGAATACTGCTGCTGAGTGCCATCCAATGGAAAGACAAGACTGTAAAAATGTTACAGAGTGTGTCATCCACCGAATTCCCCAGATCTGGCAGCACGCGACCCTTGGCTCTTCCTCAAAGTCAAAATGACCATAAAAGGTAAACATTTGGAGTCAATTCAAGATGTCGAGCCATCCATGACAGAACAGCTAGAGACACCAGGAAAGACGGCTTCCAGAGCTGCTTCAGAAGTGGCAAAAAGGATGGGATGAGTGCATTTGAAGTGAGGAGATATATTTTGAGGACAATTCAGGACAATATGGCTTTTACTGTCATACATTTTAAAAATTTAAATATTCACCATATTTTTTGCTCACAGCTCATAAATATGGAAAAACACTGGCCATGGGTACAAACACTGGAAGTTTAGAGAACAGTGATGAAAGGGAAATGTGGTTTCACCCCTGACCGCTGTCCAGCGCAGTGCACTGTGTTTGATACGCTGACCTCACTCACAGCCCTGTGCCAAGGTTTGCTCTCAGGGGAATGGACTTTCTCCCGGTTATTCCTCTCACATAAGGCCTGAGGCTGGACACAGGAAGAAGGGTGCCCACATCCAGGGGAGGGATTCTTACCTTCCTGGAGCCTGGATCTGTTGGAGAGGATCTCTAGAAAAGTTCCTGAACGATGAGGGGAAAATATTTCATATGCCACACAGAGATGGTCAGAGTCCACATGGCTTTTGAGGACATTTTTACCATTAGCTATTTTCAAAACATATTATTGGGAAATAGTGTTATGAAAGTAGTGGCTGGAAAGTTCCAGTCTCCTGCTTCTCTATAGAAACATCAAAAAAAAGTGAACCAAAGAAAAGCAGGCTGAACTGGCTTTGTAGTTGCTCTGGGAACAAATATTTACAACAACCAAGCAAATGTCCAATCAAGAACAATCCATCTTCAGAATGGTTGAAGACTTTCATGGAGCTTTCCCTCACACTGAACCTTTGGTCAAGCAAGACAGTCAGGCACTGAGCATGGGGCAGCCCAGTTCCCAATGTGTTCCTGTCCCCCAGTGTAGGAAGCAAAGCACCCGTAAATGACTATGTCCTAATTGCTCTGGGAGATACCTGTAGGGCTGAAGAAAGGCTCTGGTTAGGGGTGGGAAAGGCAGCAAAAGAAGGAGAATGTGATTTTCAGAGTTATTCAGAATCACCACACCACAGAGGTGGAAGACTCAGTTTCCAGTAATCAAAACACAGTCACAAGTGTACAAAGAAACAGGAACACATGACAGGTAAAGTGTTAATTGACACTGTCTGTGAGTACCCCCAACACCGCATTTATGAGAAAAATACCTTACATATGTTAAATATGCTTGAGGTCAAGGAGGAGGGGAATGGACAAAGAATGAAAGGAAGCCAGGAAAATGACTTATGAACAAAATGAGAATATCAACTAAGGTAGAAATTATAAAGGAGAACCAAATACAAATTCCGAAGGTGTAAAGTATAATAACTGAAGTAAAAAAAAAATCCACTGATGCTTTAGTAGCCTATTAGAAGCAGGCAGAAGAAAGAAGGAACTGAAAACAGAACAATTGAAAAAACTAAAACAGGAGTAGTAGAAAAAAAGAAGTAAATAGAATTTAAGAGACTTGTGGGACATCATGGTGCTGACAGAATATGTATTATTGGATTCTCAGAAGGAAAGGTGGGAGAATAAGGCAGTGAAAGTTCATCCAAAGAAATAATAGAAAAAAAGTTCCAACCTGAGGAAAGGAAAAATAAGCCAGAGGTAAAAGAACCAATATATGATTCCACTTATGTGAGGCATGTAAGATAGGCAAACTCATACAGAAAAAAAGTAGGGGTAATGAGGTGCTGGGTGCTTGGAGGAGGAGAAGAATAGTATTTCATGAATACAGAGTTTCTGTTTAGAATGTTGAAAATTTTTTGGAGATGAATAATGGTGTTGGTTGCAAAAATTATGAATTTATTAATGATGCTGAGTTGTACATTCAAAATAGTGGGAAATGTAAATTATATATCATATTTCATCTCAATAAAAAAACAAAACAAAAAACAAAGGAGGCTCAAGGGAGGACTAACATGTGATCTTTGCCCCATGGCCTCAAGAGGGCACTGATTCCCTGTGGCAAACATTTTCCCCAAAGCAGCACGCAATTTTTAGCTAAATCCTCAGCAGCACAACTTCACGTTGGACAAAGAAACACTGAATATACAGAGTCTGCCCAAAAATGCACACACGCTTCAGCAGTTTGCTGTACTAATAAATGTCTGGGAGCTCAAGGGCACTACTTTGAGCACCTCTTGTCATTGCAGAGGCCAAAGGTAACTTGTGCTAATCTCATGATATCTCAATAAATCTAGTATTAAAATATTTATCCAAGTTTTTTCCCCTGATGTATACTTTTTTTGAGGACTGTATATATTTCTCCTATATTATATGGCATCTATGTTATATAATGTGTTAGCAGCTTTGGGAACCACTGGTGTGTGTGTGTGTGTGTGTGTGTGTGTGTGTGTGCGCGCATGCGCATGTGTGTTTCTCAAAGATGCCTGCACATTACAATCATTTGAGATTGAAAAACGTGTGCAGGCAGCACTCCCCTGAGGCCGTTACGTGCGCACAGTGTGACAGCGGGAAAGCTTCAGGGAGGCGCCTCTGGAGAGCACAGATGGAGTCTGAGATCCATCTCAGGATCTCCCTTCTGTTGCCAATCTTGGAAGTCAAGAATTCCCTTTTGTGGCCTCGACTAACCTAAGGGGATGGGTTGTATTTGATGAAGAATTTCAGCAGGTTTCTTGTTGCTCACTCTGGATTTCTGCAACTCTTGGGTTTCCCATTTAGGATTTGAGGGCCCAAAGGCATGGATTTGGACCTAGACTTACTACGTATGGTGGAGACACGTGACACTTTCAACCTGAGACCTCCCTCGACAAACTCAGGCTCCCAGGGCTGTCTGTGGCCTCATTGAGGGTAAGAGATTTGTTTACCCTGCTACTGATGAATAGGGATGGTATTATTGAACCCAGCTGAGGCCCTGTACTCAGGACCTCAGGATATACTGGCACCCAAGCCTGGTTCTGAAGCCAGTCTGCCTTCTACCTATCAGTCAGCCCTTACGTCCTAGCGGAGTTGGACCCGAAGGGACATAGCAATGTGCTGTGACTTTGAGCGTAATTAAAATAGGCTTCACCTAGCTGGGCAAACACAGGACCAACTGAGGAAATCTCAGGATGCAGAACCCCTGCTGGGATTCTTGGGGTTGGGATGGGGGAGATGGGATTCTCTTACCTCATAGTACATGAAGAGGCCTACGGGCTTGGTGGGCTTGATCCTGATGCCAATGTTTCCTTCCGTGTTGGGTGGCAGGACGTTGCCCTTGTCATCAATGATCTGGAGCAAGAAGCCGGTTGTACTCACCTGTAGGACTTAGTCCTTCTGCCCTGGCATTGCCTGTCTCATTCCTGGGATCCCCATAGGAAAAAAATGGAGCCATAAACAGAAGGCCTTAGAATATGGAACGAGACTGTCAAAAGTCTTTGAAATCAGCAAATGTGAAATCCAAGCCAGAGGTCTACTTGTCTCATGGGTGTGAAGTCTTCGCCAATGTGCCCTAAGGCTAGAAAACACTGTTTTCATCAAGAGAAATGAGAAGCAGCAGTTGAACAGAAAGCTGCCGGTGCTGTGTCCAAGTGAGCTTTCTCCTGCACTGTGTGTGACGCCTCTGGCTGCCAGGGAGAGCTGCACTCGTGCTCACAGTGATGCAGTTCTCCACTGAAACCTCCTTAGAAAACTGGAGGAAACAGGAAGGCAGAAAGAAGGGCAACCAGGGCAGAGAAACGTGGCTGGTTCTGCCAGCTGGTGTCACATGAAAGCCTGACCCCAGCCGAGCTCTCAGAGCTCCCTGCCAACACCCTTAGCACCAGACCTGGACGTCGAAGGGTGAGATGGCCTTCCCCAGGGAGCCTGGCTTGATCTTCATTTCCTGGAAGACACCGCAAGTGATTCCCTGTTTATAAAAGACAGAGGATTTGGGGTGATTGGAAATCCAGTCTGACTGCAAAGGAGTGAGTGTCCTCCCCCCAGCACATCCCAACAAATGTCATTTGATGCTACGTGGAGAGCTCCCGGGGGAAGGTAGAGGCTGGGATTCAGGCTCAGAGCACGGACCCAGCTCCATTCTGAGGATATGTGTTGCAGGGCCAGGGATTTAGCTCAGTGGTTCCTCTGACTCCCTTGCAAGTGCAAGGACCCGAGTTCAATCCCCGGTACCAAAAAAAAAAATAAATAAATAAAAGGATATGTGTTGCACCCAATCTGGATTGCGTCTCTGCTGGGGGCAGCACTGATGGTGGCCGGGACGGAGGCAAAGGCCAAGGTTGTACATATCCTGTGGCTCAGAGTGCCCACTGTATGCTGGGCATGTGCCGGTTTGCCAGGGGAAGGCCATGAGTTCGCTCCATGCACATCTACTTGGGGCCATTGAGCCGTGACTGGAGTCCTGCCTGAGCCCTTCTTGAGGCTGTGTTGAGATCGATCAGAGCGCCATGCTAGTTCTCTCTGCTTGCACTTCCCGCCCTCTGAGTCTTTCCTCTTGACCATTCTCTCCTTATCATCATTTCAAAGCTGAATGCTTTCCATTAGACAGACCACCATGTGCTTCCTAGGCCATTAGTGCCCTTGATCTCCTCCTCCAGGAAAGGGGGATAACTGTAACAATAATTGTGTGTGTGTGTGTGTGTGTGTGTGTGTGTGTGTGTTGTTTACTGAAAGTCTCTGTCCCTCAGCCACCCCTGCCAGTATCCCACAGTCAAATTTGTGTGCAACATCCTCCTAGGCACCCAGATGTGAACTTCTGGAACCATCTCCAGCCTCTGCATGGTGTCACCCTGGGATGGGACAGTGGAGCTGGTGGTCTCCATGTTGCTGGAGAGATCCTCCTATCCTACCAACTATCCAGCGCTCCCCTGAGCCAATGGTCGTACGCACAATGGCAGAATGTCCCTAGATCCCATTTGTCCAATAGTTTTCAGCACAGTTATGAGCTGTGGGCTGTCTTCCTGCCAATCGAATTGCAGCAAATTAACTTTGAACCCTTGGTTTTGAGCAATGTTGTGCACACACTGGGGCCTCAGCACAGACTGGCGGTGTGACGCAACCCATCAGCTAAGCACAGTGACCAAGTGTTATCCAAATGGCTCAGAGCGGGCCTTTCCACCTACCGATTCTGACTGCCCATAGATCTCGTGAAGCAAGATGCCCGTCTGTTTCTTCCACTGCTCAAACTCCTGGATCAGCAGAGACTCCCCACCAGTAAAGCAGAACTTCAGCGTGGGGAACCTGAGACTTTGGGGAAGATATCGGGGTCAGACCTTAGCTGCTTGGTGCACACTGAGCTCACAGCTGAGTCCTCTGGATCACTCATCCTGTTCCTCACTTTCCTAGATCCCTACTGGTCACTTTCCTGATGGTCAAGCCCAAGTGTGTGCCACTCCCTTCCTGTCAGTCCCGGTTCTGTTTTCCGGCAGAGAGGAGGTGTGTTGTTGGTGATGCTGTTGGGTTCATTCAGGGAAGTTTGTACTAAGTTTAGTTTTAATGTTACAAGAGGGAGAAAATGTGTTCATCAGAACTCATCTCAGGGAAGCATTCGGTGTGGCTATGTTAGCATAAACCATAAAGATGTGAGGGGCAAGACCGCCAGGGTCACACTCTGGTAGTAACAGATTTATATTGCCTTCCATGAGTGCAGGGTTATATTAAGGGTTTCTATATTTCTTTTCTTGAACTCAGGACCTTGCGCTTGCAAGGCAGGTGTGTTGCCACTGAGCTAAATCCCTGGCCCTCTGTATTTCTAAATAGGGCAAAATGGACAAAAACCGAAAACCTTCATGTTAAAATCAGGAACAAGACAAGGATGCCCACTATCACCACTCCTCTTCAATATAGTTCTGGAAACATTAGCCACAGTAATTAGACAAGAGAAAGAAATTAAAGCAATAAAGATAAGAAAGGAAGAAGTTAAACTGTGATTATTTGCTGAGGATATGATACCCTACATTGAAGACCCAAAAAAACTCCACCAAAAGACTTCTAGACTTAATTGATACTTTTAGCAGAGTAGCTGGATACAAGGTCAACACCCAAAAAATCAATAGCCTTCTTGTACACAAATAACAGACTTACTGAGAGAGAAATTAGGGAAACAATTCCTTTCACCATAGCATCCAAAAAAATGAAGTATCTAGGAAGCAATCTAACAAAAGAAGCAAAAGATCTCTACACTGAAAACTACAGCACTCTGAAAAAAGAGATCAAAGAAGATATAAGAAAATGGAAAGATATCCCCTGCTCCTGGGTAGGAAGAATCAACATAGTGAAAATGGCCATACTACCAAAACTGCTATACAGATTCAATGCAATGCCAATTGAAATTTCAACACTATATCTTCACAGAACTAGAAAAAAGAATCCAAAAATTCATCTGGAACCATAAGAGAACTAGAATAGCAAAAGCCATCCTAGGCAACAGAGACATGGCAGCGGGTATAACAATTCCCAATTTGAAACTATACGACAAAGCCACTGTGATAAAAATAGCATGGTATTGGCAAAGAAATAGACCTAAAGATCAGTGGAACAGAGTGGAAGACACAAAAACAACTCCAGATGTACTCAGCTACCTCATCTTTGACAAAGGAGCTGACCATCCTCAGTGGAGGAAAGATAGCCTCTTTAATAAATGGTGTTGGAAAAACGGGATCTCAACCTGCCAAAGATTAAAACTGGACCCTTATCTTTCACCATGCACTAAATTAAAATTCAAGTGGATTAAAGATCTAAATATTAAAAGAGAAACACTAAGCTTGCTGGAAGATAAGCTAGGTAGAACTCTTGAAGATACTGCATAGGAAAAGGTTTTATGAACAAATCCTCAGTAGCATGGAAACTAGCAGAAAGAATCAACAACTGGGATCTCATCTTATTAAAAAGCTTCTGCACTGCAAAAGCAACCATCAACAGAACTAAGAGACAACCTACAATGTGGGAAAAAAATTTTACCAGCTGCTCCTCAAAGGACTTTTATCTAGAATATATACAGAACTCAAAAAAATCAGCCCCCCCCAAAAGACCTGATTCAAAAATGGGCATCTGAAATGAACAGACATTTCTCTGACAAAGAAGTAGAAGCAGCAAGTAAATATATGAAAAAATGTTCCACATCACTGGTCATTCGAGAGATGCAGATGTAAACAACACTGAGATTCCACCTCACCCCACAAAGAATGGCTGCTGTCAAGAAATCACACAATAACAAATGTTGGCAGAGTTGTGGGGAGAAAGGAACCCTTCTCCATTGTTGGTGGGAGTGCAGACTGGTGCAACCACTATGGAAATCAATATGGAGATACCTAAAGAGCTGGGACTAGAGGTTCTATTTGACCCAGCCATCCGTCTGCTGGGCAATTTTCCAAAAGAATTAAAAGAATCATATCGCAGAGATATATGTACACATGTGTTTATAGTGGCTCAGTTTGTAATAGCTAAAACTTGGAAAGAGCCCATTTGCCCAGAAGTTGGACACTGGATAAAGAAGATGTGGTTTTTCTATAAAATGGAAGATTACTCAGCCCTAAAGAATGAGAAATTAGATTCATTCATAGGAAAATGGATACATATTGAGGATATACTCCTAAGTGAAATAAGTAAGTCACACATGTGTAAATACTGAAGTTTCTCTGGTGTGAATAAACTATAATAGTACATAAGATCCTAATGATATAACTGACAATGTGAAATAGGAAGAAAGGAGCTAAAGGTGTAGGGAAAGTGGGAAGGGGAGGGGAAAGGTAAAAAGGGAAAAGAAAAAAATATGAGGAAATGAAAAGATGGAAATGAAGAGTTTGCAAAGGGGGAGGGGAGGAAGGGGTGAAGGGAGGGCAGGGATATGGGGAAAAATGAGAACCAAGACCTGTCATGTAAAGGTACAGGATCCCAATAATGAATGTAACTGTACTGTATACCTAAAATGTACCAATAAACTCAATGAGGAAAAAAATAAATAGGGCTTCGAAGTCAAAGTTTGGACATCATCTGCTCAGGACATCAAGGAAGATGAGGCTGAGCATAGGAAAAAACAGAAAGGTCATAGGAAATAGAGTTTCAGAGAGACCAGTAAGGTCTGATGTGAATGCTCACAGTAGTTTACCAGGGCCAACTTCCTCCTCCATTTTCCTCATGAAGTCTCCTTAAAGTACACAGAAAGAGCCACAAAATAATGACTGGATTCTCTAAAGAAAATGAGGAGAAACAGTTGAGGTCTGATCTGGCTGGTGCATCACTGTCTCCCTCTTTGACCCTCCTGGGACAAGGCCAATGAGATGGACAGGAGGGTCGGTCCCCTGAGGTAGTCCTCCCCTTTCTTCTGGAGCTTTGCCTCCTGTATAGAAAGTGGGCAGACTCAGGTGGAGTCATTAAATGTGCACTGCTGAAATTTTCATTGGCTTTGGACAAAGGCCATCATCTGAGCAGGTTTGCGAAAATTAGCTGTCATATGATCTTTGAATACAAATGGAAACAATCCAGCCAGACTCAGGCTTCATGACTAAAATCTAATTATAATTCAGTTAACTTTGTAAAGCAAGTCATTAAACTCTTCCATAGTTATAGAATGTTAGCTTTTTTAATGTTAGATTTTTTAAAGTAACCATCTCAATTTCAGAGTCTCTAAAATACATACACACACACACACGTGCATATATGAGCACAGACTCAAAGAGCAGATTTCAGATGAACTAAAAATTAACCCTCAAATACAGGGAGATGCAACACTAAAACTGCCATAGGACAATGTTACATATCCATCAGACTGCAAAAACTAACTGACAATAATGAGTGCTAGTAAGGATGAGGAGTGACAGACATCCTCCTACCTTGCTAGTGGGAGCACATATTGTGCACTTTGGAAAATAGTGTGGTAGTGTGCAGTGTCACTGGTGCCTAATAATGCTCCTGGAAGAACTCTTCAGAAATGTCTGCTCACATATGTCAGGGAACATGTACCAGAATTCAACGCGGCATTCATCATGATATCCTCTAGGGGAAATCTCCACTAATGGTTGGACTGATAAAAAATCATGGTGTTTTCACAAACTGGAACATCATACAGCCAGAAAAATAATCTACCTTTAGGAACATGCAACAACATGGACATATCCTAGAAAACTAATGTTAAAAGAAAAGTCAAATGTCATAGAATAGCGTATTAGTAGATAGACAAAGTTCACAAGCGTAGAAAATAGTATGATGTGTTTGTTCAGAGGTGTTGCCTTAGGAGCTATACAGAAGAAAGGAAGGAAATTATAATCATTACTCATGATAAATTAACCTGACTGGATTAAGAAATTCCCATGGATTAGCAAAAGACACTTGCAGGTGCGTGTGTGTGTTGTCCTGGAAGCGTGACCTTGGGGTCTGTATCTGGTCTCTGGCCTCTTCTTCTCTAGCGCTGCTCCCCTGCTCTCCTTCCTGGCTCCCATCAGCAAAGAAGCTTTGTGCCATGACGTTTCTGCCCTAGAACCAGCCAACCATGGACTGAATCCCCTGAAACCGTGGGGCCAAATGAAACTTCTCCTCCTTTAAGATTGTTGGGTATTGTGTCTTAGTGACGGGAGAGTTGACTAATACAGAAGCGAACACTGCGAAAACTGAGATAGTGATTTCCTTTAGGGAAGGTGAGGAAGCAAGCAGAAGTCTCTGGGGTGCTGGTCATGTTCTACTTTTGTGCCTTAGTTAATTGTTCCTCTGGCCTTTTAATTTCTAATGGTTTGTTAATCTATATACTTCCATCTTATGCATTTTTTCTGAATGTTTGTTATTTCACAGTGAAAACATTCCAATAAACACACAGTGCTGCAAGACTCAGAGCTTCTCTGGGGTCTCTGAGTCATGCTTTTAATTTAGCTTATTATCGTGATTGATGACTATCTCCACTAACAACACACACACACACACACACACACACACAAGAGAGAGAACAATATCACCAAAAAACACACACACACACACACACACACACACACTCATACCTCAAACAGCCAGAGGAAAAACAGCCCGCTGATGGCACATCAAATCCTTAAAAGTCTATGCAAAGATTTTTTTGTTATCAGCCATTTGTACATACTTGGCAACTTTCTGCTGTAGAATCATCCGAAATACAGTTGGTGCAGCTATGCAGTGAGTGATGGGGTATTCAAATAGTACCTGGGAAGTGAAGAGAGATGGAACTTTAAAAATAATAGGTAAAGTTAAAAAAATCAGCCAATTATGAGAATTTTAATTCTAGTCTCCCGTCTAGGAGAGCTCATCTGCCCCTCTGTTTATTCTTTCAATAGATGTATATTGGGCATGGGGGACAATGAAGAGTGAGAAAATGTTCCAGATCTTACAGCGTAGACACCAACTGAGGAAATAAAACAGGACTCAAGTGATAACACAGAAGTTGGTGGCTGTCACAACAAAGATTTGAAGACAGTTCTGCGAGAACATGGAAGAGGGAAATAGATAACCCTTCTGGTTGTGTGGTCCAGGGGCTTTGGAGGAGGTAGCACTTGGTAGGGACATCACCAAACGGAAAGGTGCCTACAGGCAGAGAAATGGGGAGGGATTGCAAGGAAGAAAAGTTCAAGGGTTGAAGAAACATTTCAGCGATTCAGATGACCTCACTTACTTAGACACAGAGGAGAGGAGAGAGGGATCAGGTTAGGGGGACTGAGGTTAGCTGAGCCAGATTATGTAGGGTCTTCGTCATTACTCATTAGAGATGAAAAGCTGCAGAGTTTCAGATAGGGTGGAGACAGGCTCAGAGAGCAAGAAACTGCAAAGAGAAGATAAGGTGGGTTTGGGGGTCTACCTGACCTGACTCCACATCTCTGTAATTTGGTTTCCTCTCTGTAAAGTGAAAATACTCACATGCAGAATCATGGTGAGGGGTGGTATAATGGGAATGTGGAGGTCAGCTGGCCTCACCCTCAGTCCCTCTTCCCTGGGCCCAATCAGCTTTGGATATCTGGCTTCCATCATCCGTGCTCTGTTTATACAGTTGGACCGTCCACCCTGTCCGCTGTTCACACCCTACAGGGAGCCTTTCCACGTCCTTGTCCTGTCCACGTGCATGAGTGTGTCTGTTACTGGGCCACAGGCACATGAGGGTGGATCGGCGGCTTGGTGACCAACTGTTTTCAGGCCGGGCCATTCAGTGTCCTGTCCCTCTGCCCTCAGCTCTATGCAGGTGAGGACACAAAAGTAGGTCTACGAATAGAATGGAGCAGGAACACGAAGAAAAGCAGAGGAGACTGAGAATCTGCCTTAGTCCCTGGTGTCTTATGAATGTTGTTCCTGACCCTTGCCAAGCTGTTTCCTTCCCTCCCTCTCTCCTTCCCTCCTTCCTAATTATAGTTAATATCTCTCTTCAAAAATAGGAACCAAAACAATAAATACCTCAAAAATACCCAATATCAAAATATGCTGCAAAGCCCTAGTGACAAAGTCATGTGGCACCAGCATAAAAATAGACATGCAGACCATTGGTATAGGAAAGAAGATACAGAAACATACAACTGCAGTTTGGGGTGAAAAACATACAGTGGAGAAAAGATAGCCTCTTTAACAAATGGTGCGGGCAAAACTGGCTATCCATATGTAGAAGATCGAAACAAGATCCCTAACTCTCACTCTGTACAAAAATCAATGCGAAATGGATCAAAGACACAGGTATAAAGCCTTAAACTTTGAAAGTGCTAGACAAAACCATACAAAAGCACTTCCAGCCATAGGCACAGGAAAGGATTTCTGGAGTGGGACTCTAATAGCACAGGAAATAATAGCGAGAAGTGACAAATGGGATTGCATCGACTCAAAACCTTCTGCACAAGCAGAGCGGACAATGAACAGAGGGAAGAGGGCATCCGTCCATAGAACGGGGGAAAATCCTGTGCTGGAGGTTTTTCTGACAGAAGATTAATGCCCAGAATCTGTGTCAAAACATTCAACACAACCCCCCACATAATCAATAAATGGGCAAATGAACTGAGCACACGTCTCAAAAGAAGTAGAAAAGGCCAATAAGTATAGAAAAATTGTTTGGCGTTCTTAGCCATTAGGGAAATGCAAATCAAACCACATCGAGATTCCATCTTTCCTCCCAGTCAGAATGGCTATCGGGTCAAGACTACAAAAATAATAATAATAATAATAAATAAATAAATAAACAAATAAATGACGAGAGGTTGTGGAGGGAGAAGGAACAGTTCTGCATTACCAGTGTGAATGTAAACTAGTACAACCACTATGGAAATTGATACGGAGTCTCCTTAAAAATCTACAAAGACAGAACTATTAACTGAACCTGCTCCACCAGTCCTTGGTGTATTCCTGAAAGAATTAAAGTCAGCACACTACAGAGATACCTGCCCACCCGTGTTTATTGCGGCACAATTCACGATAGCTAAGTTATGCAAACAGTAGGTACCCGTCCACAGATGAGTGGATAAAGCAAGTGTGCTATATGTATGTAATAAAATATTATTCAGCTACAAAAACATTGAAATTTTGTCATTTGCAGAAAAGTGGATGGAACTGGAGATCATCATGCCAAGTGAAATAAGCCAGACCCCCAAAGTCAACTATCACATTTTCTTTCACATGTAGAATCCAAACACAAGTTTAAAACATTTTAAAAGACGATAGAAAACCCACAAAAGCAATAAGTGGAAATAAAGCAGAATAAACTCTCAAGCCACGGTGGTTCTTCGCGGAGATGAAATTTGTAGAAATTACTGCTACAAAGACTTTGTGGCAACAGCGCTGCTGACAGAGGAAGAATTAGGCTTGGTGGGAGTGGGGAGGTGCAAGCAGCTGCGTCTTCCATGCAGGACCTGGTGCAGGAGGGAAGGCTGGTGAGGCAGGCTGGTGTGAGGACGGGGAACGGGACACGGGCAGTGCGGTCAGAGGTGCTGGAAGGGAGTTCACAAAGCCTTGACTGACGACCAGGGACACGTTGGGAGAGTGAGCCAGGTGAGCAAAGACTAGACTCCCACACAGAGTTCTGAGAGCCCTCTGCACGGCTGTGCTCGCTGAAGAGACGGAAGTGAAGGAGACAGTTTAGAAGAGAGAGGTAAGCAAGGGCAGGGTGGTGGGGGCACTGCGGTGTTCAGGAGTAAGCCAGGTGACTCGGAGGTGACTGCAGCAAGCAGAGAATGTTCGGTGACCGTGTTGGGAGCTGGGCTGGATCCAATGCACGGCAAGAGCAAAGAAAGGCATTTTTAGGAGGGGCCACCGAATGTGGTAGAGGGAGCAGAGCTAATAAAAAGCCATACGTTGAGAATACAGCAGAAAATCTTTAACAGATGAAAGATTAGTAGACAGAGGCTGCTACTACAGGGGCAGGAGAAAGAGCAGGGTGCTCGGCAGTTGTGGGGAGGGGTGGGCTTTGAAGAGTGAAGGGGCAGGGCTGAGCTTGAGGTGGAAGAAAGGACATGGTGGAGATGCACAGAGAATTTTCTATCTGAGAGGAGGGTCTGGGAGGGAGTTGGTGTAGTGATGTCACTTGTCACCAAGACAGGATCATAATAAGAGAACATCAGTGGCTGTCCCTTATGGATGTTTTCTATGTGCCAGCCTTTACATGCTTCTCCTGTATCACCACCTCATTGGTATTTCTACTGATTTTTTTATTTGTAGCTATTAAAAATCCCATTTTACAAGAAGGAAATTGAGGTTCTGCTAAGTGACTTGCCACCGGAAAATTTCAAAAGTCAGATAAAATGCTGAATTTGTCATATTCCGAGAGCATGCTTTATAATAATGAGTAACCAATATGCACACGCACACACATGTAAGTGTGCACACACACACACACACACACACACACACACACACACACTCCAGCTACCTGGCCTGAGCAAAGCCACTACCCAAAAGACTTGGGCTTGCTGTGGTTGCTTTAGTTTCTCAAAATGCACATTCTGGGCTTCAAAGCCACAAAGTTTGACCCATAGGTCTTGAGTAAAGGCCCAGAAAGAAGCATTTTCTTCCAGGGAACATTGAGACGTGAGTCCACACAGTGACTCTGATCCATGTTACACACTGCGAGGATCCCAGGGCCAAGGTTATCTTATGCATGTGGGCTTCTTTGCCGAATAAGATATTCCTCAGCAGGGCTGAGCTTTTGGCTTGGAAACGTATATTTCTTCTGGGAGTTTTAGGATATTGGAAAGGTGGTCCTCTTACCTTTATAATGACCTTGGGATCAAACTGGGGCAGATGGTGGATGAAGAGAGTAGACCCTGCTGTCCATGGTTCAAACAGGGCCCCCACGGTGGCCAGAATCCAGCCTGGGTCTGACAGGCACCAGAGGACATCCGACGTCTTCAGCTGCATTAGTTTCCTGCTAACTCCAAAATGCAGTGACCTCAGCTGTGCTGCCATGGGTGGATGTGCGGGCAAGGGCTGGGAATCTGGTTTTCAGCAAGGGAGTCGCCTCGTTCAGTCCACGTGATTTGGGTCCCATGCAGTCCCAAAGGTCTATCGCCAAACCATAGCTCCCCATCACACACAACCCGAAGAGCTTGGTGCTGCTGATCTGGAAGGCCTGCATCAGGAATGCTAGGACAACGTCTTCCCCTGGATCTGAACCAGTTACTGATACAGTCCTGAGGGTGCTGGGTGACAGTTTTGAATAATAAGAGACAAGGCTTTCTGAGAACAGCATCAAGAGAACAGAAATAGAGCTGAGAGGTGGAGAGAGGAGAACCTAATTTGGAGTCTATCCTGCTATGTCTGAAGTCCAACCTTGCTCTGCTCTGGTTCATGAGACAATAAGTTCTTTTCTTTAGTCTTTGGCCTAAAAGGGCTTGAGGTGGGATTTCTGTCATTTGCAATGGAAGGGGAGAGATAGAGAGAGAGAGAGAGAGAGGGAGAGAGAGAGAGAGAGAGAGAGAGAGAGAGAGAGAGAGAGAAGAGAGAGAGAGAGAGAGAGAGAGAGAGAGAGAGAGAGAGAGAGAGATGGATGGATAGGTAGATAGGAAGAGACCTAATTAATACCCCATCTTGGCAAGAGACTGGAAACAATCAAAGGGTAACAACTGCAAAGTAGAGTGGGGAGGGTTCCTTCTCTGCCCTTATCCTCCTGCTTCCGAGGGACCTCTGTGAGTCCAGATGCTTTAGAAACGTGCAGTGCTCCTCTTGGCCAGCCATGGCTTTGAGGAGCTATTCTGTTAGCAGGAAGGGGTGTTGATGAGTCCCAAGAACCCACATCCCGTCTCCTTAGGACCCTGGCACACCTGCAGGAGATCACTAGTGAGCTCTCCGTTTTAAGCTTCCGATCCAGCTGACCATTGAACACCTCTGCTGCGGTGTGTCGTGGGCACCCCCAACCCCGAAAGCCTAGTGCCTCCAGCCTCCTTCAAGCTGACTCTCCCCAGTGTTCCCTGTATAGCAGTGAACGTCATCACCACCCAGGCTCCAAACTGGGGAGGGTCAGTCTTGACCTCACCCTTTATTTCCTATATCCAGCCAGCAGGTCCTGGCCACCACCATCCTGGACCTGGACCGTTCTAAAGGATCTATCTGGCCTTCCCGACTTCCCTTCTTTCCCCGTTCCCTTTTCCATTCTGTAGCCACAGTGACTTTTGCAAAAAAAAAAAAAAAAAAAAAAAATCACATCTGTTCATCACTAAAAAGCTTCCAATACTTTCGCACTGGCTTCCTAGTAAGATCCAAACTCTAAACCAAGACCCCAAAACAGCACAATCTGGGCCCCACTCAACTTTCTAACTCTTCCCATTGGTTCTCCCTACGCCCTGAGTCTTAGTCCTGAATCTCTGTAGCTCGAAGGAGACTATTCTCTGTCTTAGTCCCTTTGTGAGTAGTATTCCAAATGCACTGCCAGCTCTTCCTTCTCCTGCCTTCAAGTGTCTTTCTATTCAATGATTTCATCAGCACTAATTCCCACTGCTCATGAGAAACCGTCTCTGCTCCCTGTTCTAGGTAAGAAGTTAGAAAACAGAATTTGGTCTACTCTGAACATTACTAGTTGGAGAAAGGGAGGGATGGGGGGAGAGAGGTTTAACATAGATTAAATGATTAACCCGGGACTTGAGCTTTAGCCTCTTTGCTCTTGGGTTAAGGTCGGGCAGTGACTTGGTGTAGCTCTGGTCCACTTATTTTCCTCCCTGACATTTCGCAAATGGGAAGCTAACTCCAAGCCTGACTTGCCCACAGAGCACTCTGTCTTTCCCCATCAAGCTGTGGAGCCACTGTCTGGGACATAATGACTTGTCCTTTGTGTGGCTTGTAGACACCTGCTGCGTTCCCTCCACCCCTCCTATGGAGGAGTCCAGGTTGGGCCCCACGGGGACTCCGTTGTGACTCTGAGGTCTCCGCCTCTCTCAAGATTCCCTTCCCAACCTTCACTTCTCAGACACTCACACTCACAGTCTGAGCCCAAGGGTGGAAGGCTGAAACCGGATGGAAGCCCCTCTGTTTAGAGCTCTGCCCCTTCCACCATCCCTCGCACATATACACAACCCTTGTGCCAGACCCAGGACCCCGTGTCTTCCTACCATGTAGGCAGGTAGGAGCGCAAAGCGAGTCCATGGTTGTGTTTTACCATCTTGGGAAGACCTGTGGTCCCACTAGTGAAGAAGATGGTCATTGGATCCTCTGTCTTCGACTTAATACAGGTTTGCTCTGGGGATGCTGATCTGCAGAGATTCAGGACCCAAAAAGGAAAAGTCACGCATTCTCTCCCATTGCAGGAAGCAAAGGAAGCAACCTGGGGCATGGAGCCGGGAAACAGGGGGTGTGCAAGACTGTGGCTTCCCCAGAGTCACGTGGCCAAGAGGACTGGCACATCCTGCTTGACAAGTGGGAAAACGATAGCAAACACTTAAATAGCATTCGTAGGTTCCAGGCAAATCATACAGTGTTTAACAAATAGGAACACAGTCACTTCTCAGAGTGACTGTAGGAGGGGAGGTGGCACAAACCAGGCCCGTTGTGCAGGTAGGGAAGCTGAGGCTTAGAGAGGGTGGGTAACTTGCCTGAAGGCGTCTGGCTAGCAAGTGGGGCAGAGCCCAGATCAAACAAACCCAGACCATCTGAGCTACGGCTCTGCTTCTAACCACATGGCTACACAAACGAGCTTCACAGGACATTAAAAATCATATCACAATTGTCTTTCTTATTAATGTATATTGGTTACGTGGAAAAATAGGTTTGATCTTGGTGTATTTGTACATGCACACCACATACTTCGGTTATTTTTACACCTCCATTACTACCCCTTATCTTTCTTTCACTGCCGCCCCCCCATCCTTTTCCCACCCAGAGTAGTCTCTCTTCTACTTTCCCATCTGCTGATTTTTTGTCTATTTTTTTGCTTGTTTTAGGAGTCCACATATGGAGAAAAAACAGACAATATTTGACTTCCTGAGCCTGGCTTATTTCGCTCACTGTGATGGTCTCCAGTTTCATCCATTTTCCTGCACATGGCATGATTTTATTTTCTCTTTATGGATGAATGATACTCTACTGTGTGTCCATGTGACATTTTCTTTAGCCATTCGTCTGCTGACGGGCACCTGGGCGGGTTCCATCTCTTGGCTAATAACCATGCCAATGCAGCTGAGGCTGAATTCGACCCCATGACCTTGGTGGGGAGGAGAAAGCGAGGGAGAGGGAGAGTGAAGAATGACTCACTTCATAGGAAAATGGATGCGTATTAAGGTTATACTCAAGTGGAATAAATAAGTCACACGTGTGTAAATACTGAATAATTTCTCTGGTGTGAAAAACTATAACTGTAAATAAGATCCTAATGGTATAATTGACAACATGAAATAGGAAGAAAAGGGCTAAAGGTGTAGGGGAAGTGGGAAGGGTAGGGGAAAGGGAATAAGCGAAAAGAAAAAATATGAGAAAAATGAAAAAATGGAAATAAAGCATTTGTAAATGGGGAGGGAAGAAGGGGATGAAGGGAGGGCAGGGCTAAGGGGAAAAAATGAGAATCAAGATCTGTCATGTAAAGGTACAGGATCCCAGTGATGAATGTAACTGTACTGTATACCTAGAATGTACCAATAAACTCAATGAGAAAAAAAAAGAATGACTCGCGATCACTATTTTTGAGAGCTTGGGCTGGCAGGTGGCCTCAGTTTGCATGGATTCTCAGAAGCTTCTCTGGGCTGAAGCTACAGGGCCTACTCTGATGGGAAGCTCAAGCTTTCTGTGGCGTTCAAGGAAAATGCAAATAGTCCCAGGGCTGGAGGAAATACTGGCTCTGCTGAGAAGTGCTACCATACCGACTCAGGGAGGTCAGCTTTTCCCAGAGCATTCTTTGTTTGTTTGAGACAGGATCTCACTATGTAGTTGAGACTGACCTGGAACTCACTATGTAGCCCAGGCTGTTCTCACACTCACAGTGATCCTCCTGCCTCAGCCTCCTGAGGACTAGGATTAGAGGTGTGCACCACCATGCCCACGCCCAACTTTTGATTTTTTTTCTTTTTTTTTGGTACTGGGGATCAAACTGGGGTCCTGTGCTTGTGCAGCAGGGAGCAGAACTACTGAGCTAAATCCCTGGCTCCCAGAGCATTCTTGATGTTATGCTGTTTTCATTTAGTTCTCTGATGGTAGCGTAAGGTGGGGCTTTGCTGTAACATTTGCCTGCTCCCAGGCCACAGTGCCAGCGCAGGGTGTGCGTGTGGTGGGAGATCTGCCCGTATGCTTAGGCAGCAAGCCTTTCTTTCCTCTAACTCTTTGTAACCTTGCCCAGAAGGTGTCTCTGAGGTAACCAGCCGCTGGAGGGTGCAAATGCTTGCTCTTGAAACTGCGGGCCAACCACACCTAGCAATTCAATTTCTTTTGAAATCTCAAGCTTCACCTTATATTCAGTTTCATCTTTTATTAAATTTCTTCACAAGTGCAAATTTTTTTATGGTACTGGGGATTGAAACCAGGGGCTTTGCACTGATCTACAACTCCAATTCCTTTTATGTTTTTAAATTTTGAGACATACTCTTGCTAAGTTGCCCTGGCTGGGCTCAAACTTGAGATCTTCTCGTCTCAGCCTTCCAAATTGCTGGGATTATAGGCACGCACCACCACGCTCAGTCATATACACAATTCTATATAAAAATAAGATTTCAGATTCCCTACATACAAGAAATATGTAACACAACAGCCCCCATCTTTGCACAGTCTACAGGGTGAGTATACTTTAGTGAGAGAAGCATTTATTTGACAGATAAAGAGACTCAGAGAGGGGAGGGAGAAAGCCGAGGGTCACATCACAAATCAGTGACACAGCAGGAAGAGAAAATTTCTGGCATCTACTGTGGAGAGCTTCCTACCCCTGGTTGGTTATCTCCTGGTACTTAGGTGTGAACAGCCTCCCAACCATTCCTCATTGAGAAGCCATAATCTCAGACAAGGAACTCACTTAATCAGTGACTGGAGATCCAGCCACCCATGAAGGCTGTGATCAGAGACGAGGAGCTTGCTTTTCAGAGCGGGGCACTCAGAAGCCACAGCATCTACCTCTGGAGCGAGACTATCTGTGGTCACGATGGCCTTTGCGTTGGACACTTGTAGTCTGTAGAGAATGTCCTTGGATGTCAACTGGGTTGTCCCAGGAATGAAGACAATCCCTGGGGATGAGAAAGGAACAGCTGTTTCAGTGTCTTTCATACCCACGGGCTTCAGGCTGACCTTGTCTGCAGAGAAAGGTTCCAACCTCTGCTGTAGAAGTGTGGTCCACCGACCATGGACCATGGACTGACACACCAGCAGTGCCTGGGAAGCAGAAACTCTCTCCCTGGGCCAAACCTCGGAGCTAGAACTTGCATTTTCCTATGCACATGAAAATGGAAAAGCCCCACCCTAACCTTTTCAAAGTCCTCCAGCCAAAAGATGCAAACTGCTTTATACAAGTTTGCACTGGAGCTGAGAGTAGGGTTGTGAATGTCCCTGACACCTGGGAGAGGAGCATCCCAGGCCTCTATCTTTCTCTTCTCCCCTTCCTCTTCATCAGCCCTTTGACACCATCTTGAACCTCCTCTCTTTGTCTCATTCCAAATTTAACCACACCATTGTTGAACTTTCCAACCTTCTCTTCAATCTGCACCAGCCACAATGAGTGCAAGCCTTTAGTTATCTCTGCAGGGTCTTTTCCCTACACCAAATGGCCTGTTCTGCCACCCAAGTTCCATAAAGCACTGACTTCTCCCTTTCCACTTTTCCTCTCTGCACCAACAGTGGTGCCCTCTCTCTAGGAAAACACACTTCCTGTCCTGACACTGAAGCTGCCACCCACTCTTCCTTTTTATCTCGCTCAACTCTTCTTTTTCACAATGGCCATGCTTCCCATGGGCTCCACACAACTCAGCCTTCATGTGAGTTATGCTTGGAATGACCTACTTGGGCTTCGAACCCCTCTGGAATCCTGCTTTTCTTGGAGGGCTCAGCCTAGCTCGTTGTCTTCACAGGCCATCTTTAGCTTTACACGTGATATGGCTTTTCCCCTCTACGCTCCCTCTGCCACTGCCATTGGTTCTCCCACGTGACCTTGTTGAATTAGTCCATTATTTAAATAGAGAATAAAAGAAAGGAGATGAGCACGACAGAGTACTGCATGAGTATGCAGGGTAGGATGAGAGAGGTGATTCACAAAGAGAAGTCAGGAGTCTCGTGCTGGTTCTAAACTATACAGATACAGCTAGGCAGGCAATTGCAAGAGGAAGGGAGATGTCTACAGGACGGCTTTAACTAGTAGGCATGATATAAATAGAAAAATCCCATATAAAATCACCATAGTAAATTCGGTCAAGATTTACCAGCACACCATGGTGTGCACAGCTGCTGGAAACAGGACAGATCACACAGTGTCATCCAGGTTACTCATAAGGAGAAATCAAGCGACTATTCCCTTACAGAAACAATGGAACAATTATCCCTGAGGGTGGGACAGCCTCAGTTAATACACAAGCCAGTGTCACGCTTTGAGGAGTAAACACAACCGCCTTGCTAGTATTCCTGCCAAAAGCCTTCAACCTAAATCCAATGGGTGGGGTGGGGGTGACTCACTTTCCGGTCCCTCTTCTGTCTCACTTAGACAAAAGCTTTCTTTCCCTCAATAAATTTTTCCTACTCTGAACCTCCATTGTCCCTAGAATTCATTCTTCGATTTTAGAGAACAGGAACTCGCATTTCAGATATCTAGCAGGTTTGGGAGTTACAGCTTTTCCTCCTATATCATTTTGGAGGTCCCACCAAGATTACCAGTTGGAAGTAAGAGTTTTCTTTCATAGGTACTGACTTTGGTCTTTTTGCTTCATAGATTGTAACTTGTTTCATACAATCTCATTTGTTTCATACAATCTCATTTGTTTCATAGATTCTGGTTTTTGCTTCATAAATTCTGGCCTTCATTTCAGCTTTTCTCTCAAAAGTGTCTTAATTTTAAGTATGTGTTTTAAATGTAAATTTCCTGTTTTTCTTATGCATTGTGTTTCGTTAAAATTATGTTTTCTTATTTTGTATGTGTTGTATTTGCACTTAGTTGCTTCAAAATGCTGTAAAATGGGTGTCTTATGAAATTGTCTCAGATAAAGAGAGTTCAGGCTTTTATCTGTCCCTTGTAGAATGCCAAACAGTGGTTATTCTGCCAGCTAGTAATTACCTTTAGGGCAGCTGCCCTGCTCAAAGCAGAGGACAGGTTTCTCCAGTTGCCCTCTGGTGAATCCCTACTCGCATTAATGCCAATGTCCAGTGGAATGCTGACCAGATAGGCAATTTGGTTCCTTTTGGAGACACATCTCTGATTGCATGCAACTAGTGGAAACTGAGGTGACAACTGAGGGATCATGTCCACTCTCTGGCAGATACCCAAAGGTCCCTGAGAAGAAACTATCTCCCAATAGCCCATCTGGGTAATCAGCAAAAAAATCTCCATATCTTGTCCAAACTGGACACCTCCGTGAGGTGAAAAGGGAACTCTGTCAGTGATCATCAGGTATCCTCTGTCTCAGAGTCATCTGAAACAATGCTGTCAGAGCCTTTTCTTAAGCCTCCATTAAGAGTTGAGCTACAAGTTTGGACTGCTTTTTCTACTACTAGTAAGTAGCACTAGTCTATTTGGTCAGCCTTTCTCTTTCTTCATGTGTGCATGTAAGAAGTTGATAAAGGTGCCTTTACTATGTAAACTGTGGCTGTTAGGAAGATCTATGATTTTCAAATACTTAGTGAATTTAGAATGGACCTTAAGGGAGTATCCTCGTCTTGCTGCTAATAAAAGTTGCCTAAATCTGGGGATTTAGCTCAGTGGTTCCACCACCTGCCTTGCAAGTGCAAGGACCTGAGTTTGATCCCCGGTACCAAAAACAAAACAAAACAAAAAGCCAGCCAAAAGTTGCCTAAAAGACTGGATAGACAACCAAAATTTCTCAGAGCCTTCTCTACCCTAGGGCCCAGGGCAGATCTCAGACTCAGCATCTCTAGAGGTGATCTCTGTTGCAGGAAAAGTGGCCTATTTTCCTCTCTCTCAAGGAACTAGAAAGCAGTGATTTGAATTTATTGGTTTGTTAACAACACTTCTCTAAACATGATTGTTATAGCTGAAGTCAATTATAACTTGTGCTTTGAGAGTACTTACTGGAGTAAGGGAATGAGTTACCTGAGGAAGATACGATTGTGCACTGGTAAAGGATAGAGAGTCAAGCCTGCTTTTATTTTCTGTGTCTCTCTCCAGATGGTAGCTACCTACCCTGGAGTGAAATAAACCTTGGGGGATGTCCTTGGGGGCACAGGAATCAAGCAGAGACTTATGGGACACCATATTTGTTTCTCTTGTTTCAGATTAGGCACTCCATATCTGAACCTCGTACTCCTTTGGAATGTAGTAAGGAGCAATTTAGTATTTCTCTACACCCTTGCAAGGTGTTCCCACCTCCTAAAGCCAAGTACACAGAGGAAAGTATTATGATGCTATCTCATGATTACAATTACACTGTAAAAGAGAGAAGTAAAAATCATCTTGTGTTGAGATTTTCTTTACATTAAGAAGTAATTCTTGCTTGTGTTCAAGTGTAAATGTAATGAGAGACAACTCACCCTTAAGACATTCAGTACCTCCAAGTCTGAGGCTACTCCTTGCCCTTTAGAACCTGAGCACAAAATTTCCAAAACAACTTTAAACGTTGACCACTAGGTGCTGAGGATGGACTATCTAGGCCAGCCATAATTAAATCCTCCATGAGACTATATCCATCCTTAGCTACATTGTTCAGGTCCCTCAAAGACAATATCCCTTGCAGGAAGTAAATGGCAAATATGGGACTATCTCTGTTCGTGTGTCTTTTTCTCAGTGATCTAAGACAGATTAAAATGAACCTAATAAAGTTTTTTTCTTCCTAATAAATTTTTTGTATGACTCTGGTATATATATTGAGGTCTTTAGAGAACTTACTCAGACCTATGGACTAGATTAGAAAGGTGTAATGTTGTTCTTAAATCAATTTTTTTTTTGTTTGTTTTTTGAGACTGACCTGGAACTAACTATGTAGCCCAGACTGGTCTCGAACTCACAGCGATCCTCCTGCCTCAGCCTTCCAAGTGCTGGGATGAGAGGTGTGTTCCATGAAGCCCGGCCTCAAATATTTGCTTTTAATGAGAGATAAATAGTATTACATTTAGAGACAAGTACTGTCTTAATTTTGGAAGCTCAAAAGACAGGCAGCCAGGGGAATAACTGGTTTCTACTGGAACACAAGCAGTTCCTATACAGGACCCCTACTGGCTTGCCAATCAGATAGGAGACTAAAATAGAAGACATTTTCAGGCATGTATTCTTAAAGATCTAAGAAATATGAGAACCAAGCCCTTCAGTTATTTTAAAGTGTCAACTATCAGAAAGAGATGAAGACATCCCTAGGTCCTGATTTGATAAAAGGAAATACTATAATTTTTCCCAAGTCAGTCTTACAATATGTAGATGAGATAGTGTCATATGCCCCGCTCAGAAGAGCTTTCTAGTCAAGACACCTGTGTTCTGCTGACTTTTCTAACAGAGGCTATAATGTTTCTAGGTCTAAGGCACAATTTTTCAGCCTTAAGATAAAATACTTAGGCCTTATTATATCTAAGGAAATCCAAAGACTGGGGGAAGAAAGAATTAAATAAAAAACTTAATAAAGATTAAAAAAAGGAATTAAATCAATTCTTTCCTCTCCACAACCCAAGACCCTGAATCACTAAGGAAATTTCTAGAAATGACAGGCTTTTGATGCCTTTAGATAGCAGGATATAATGAGCTTGTGTGACACATAAATCAGCCTACAGAAAAAGCCAAAAGACAGCCATATTTTAACTTGGGAACCTGATTCCCAGGCTGCTTTCCAGAAGTGCAGATAAGTCCTTCTAAGTGCCTAGCTACAGGACATCGCTTCAGTTTGTATGTTAATAAAAGGTAAGACATGGCTTTGGGAATATTGCTACAAGACCAGAGAGCTGCTCAACAGCCTGTAGGGTATTCAAGTCATAAATTATATATTATATATTCAAAATAATTTATTGAAAAAGAAAAGCCCTAAACAATATAGTTAGAACACTTTCATTCACTTTCAAGAGGCAAAAAAGCAGCCATTCGGGTTCTTTGATTATTGGTTTGATTTTATGCTTGGCAATACAATTGGAGTCAAAGTTAGCTTTTGTCTCTAGAGATGTGTTTTGCTAAGGATTGCAGATCCACCATAAAAAAGCTCCTGATCTTAAATGTCTTTCTACACCTGAGATGGTTAAGATTTAGTTCTTATGCCAATCTTAAGGCACCTTCTTGTTCCTTCTCCATTGCCCTGTCCCTGAAAAATAACACAGTTCTCAATAGTGTTTAATTCAAGGCACTTCCCTCCTCTGCAGCTGCTAGATTTCAAGACACCATAGTTGATAATAAATGACAGCCCCAACTATGCTTTAAACTTCAAAGTGCTTAATGTCCAGACAGAATTATAATAGTTAAGCTCACTGCTCCTACTGCATTGCTAATGTTACTGATCTTCTCTTCTGGGTGTTCAACAACTAAAGTCTGGAGAAAAAACTAAAATGGTAACTTGGGCTACGAGGCCAGCCACTATTTTGACCCTGGCCCCTCAAGGTCTACAAGATCCAAGACCCAAAGGAACCTTTCCTGCAGGATCCTATATCTTTGGGAAGTCAGTCAACCTCCTGAGCAGGGAGATTGTTGGGCATCAGAGAACAAATATACTGTGTGCCAAAGGAGGGTCACCATGAGGGAAAAGCCTCCCATGCTTTCACTGAAGGCAACGTGGTCAAGCAAGGCTGTGACCCATCCTGACGGCTGACACTGATAGTGGAGCTGAGAGGCTCTGTGCATGGTTCCAAAATACTGCCTGAAGAGACTTAACTGACCTTGACAGACAGCAAGAGGTTCATGCGGATTGACACAGGTCTCACTTTAACTTGGTCTTAAACACCCAGAAGAAAAGAATAACCAAAAGAGGTCTAAAACAATACCGTAGTAATAAAGCTACATATAAAAAGGGGCTCCAGTCACTGACCCCTGCTGGCAATTTCCAGCTCTACCAGTAGCTGATCATGGTTATGGACCATTAGGAAAAAACTATGGTAAAATAAGAGCTCACCTAGAGTTTTATATTTCTTAGCAAAATTTATTCTTCAAATTATCTCTTTATGTTACAGTTAAAACTGGAGAGACTTATGACAAAGTATCAGACTTATAGATAACTTCTATCAATGCAAGAATCTAAGCCCAGCAGGTTCAATCACCATTTCAATTTCTAAGTGTGACTTTGCCCTCAACCTGCCCTTTCATTCTAGTGTTCTCATGCTTAGATTATGCATACTCTAATTTCTTAAAAGTTTTGTTTATTCTTGCCTAGAGGCTGCCAAACTCCAACTGGTCATACAAATGAAACCAATACCAAATATGCTAGGCTTCTTTTACCGGAATCTACCAGATTGACCTTGTAAACAGCTCATAACTGCTGAAGTATACAATACGACTTCTATGTTGGATTCCAAAGTCTCCTGGACCTTCTCCTTATCCTCTTTGTAGACTATATTCATTGCAGTCCTGCTGACCTTATAATTTGGCCCATGCATTCTCAACTGTTCCTTTGGCTTTGTCTCTTTCAGACTTAAAAGCTATGCAGGCACCAAGATAACAATGCCAGGTACCTACCAAAGGCCTTTAGATAGACCCTCTGTAGAGTAATTCTAACTGCTGATCACTAATACAACCCTCTTCAGCTGGAAGTAGCCAGAGCTGTCTTCACCCCTGCCCCCAGCAGTTAGGGGTACTTCTTCAGAGGGGGGAATGTTGCAGATAGGTAACTTAATTAGATATCTTGTAGGCAGTTAGGCAGGGCCTCCCTCAAGGAGCCAACACAGCAAGGAGCCAACATGGAGGACAATGGAGACACATTCACTGAAGGCCAGAATCCTAAAAGGAGAGAAACTACTATACCTTTGTGTTTCCCCTGGGGATAAATAGCAGTAATTGATATTCCAAATAGGTTTCAATCACCTGTGTGCGTGGGGGGCCAAGGTCTTAACCCAGGCTTTGCAAGAAATATCTCTGACCCCTACCCTCACTGAAAATCCTTGTACACTTGCTATGTGACTTGCTCCCTTATTTGATTCCCATTTAGTCAATATTACCCGGATGACTATTCTTGTAATCTTATCGGTCCGTCATGGTTTTGCCCCACCTCACGCCCACCTTGTAATTTCCCATTGGGTCTTATAGTTTTGTCCCACTTTGTACCCGCCTCACCACATGGCTTGGCTGTATAAAACATCTTGGAGAAGCAGGGTGAGTGGGCAACCCATTTTCCAGTCCCCCTTCCGTCTCTCTTAGACAGAAGCTTTCTTTTCCTCAATAAATTTTTCCTACTCTTAAAAAGAAAAAATAAGTAAATGCAATCAGGGAGCCGCATTCTTAAACAATTTGAGGTACACTGTGCGAAACAGCTGGCTTACACTCTTCCAAAACGTCATTGCCAAGCAGAAAACGGGAGAATAAGCCAGATTGAAGGAAATGGAGGAGACACAGCAATTAAATACACAAGGCATGATTCTCAATTGGATTTAAAGCAAAAAACTGGCTTTCAGGGATATTATGGCGTCAGTAGAGGAACAGTTACTAGGGATGTATATCAGGTCCCCGGGTTTTATCAGTGTTAGTCTCCTTGTATAACTGTAGCGATTGTGGAGAGCATATCTTAAGTTTTAGCAGACATGTTTGTGTTTGTAGGCATTTATCTGGTATTTGTAGCTTTCACAATATCCACATCTGACTCTGATTCTTAAAGGATTCAATGAGAGAGAAAACTAGAGGCAGAGGGAGATGGAGAAAGCATGCTCTCAAACATGGAAAAATGTTGGGTATTGAATCTGGTTTTTTTTGGCAGTATGGGGGATTGAGCTCAGGACCTTGCACTTGTGAGGGAGGTAGCAAAGCCACTGAGCTATATCCCTGGCCCTATTTGAATCTTTTTTTTTTGCAAAGTGAGAATAAGATTGAGCAAGACAAAGCGTTCCGTGTGTGTGTGTGTGTGTGTGTGTGTGTGTGATGTATGACGTAGGACTTGAGAGTACATGAATGTAAGAGTGTGAGGGAGAGAGGAGAAGACTAGGAGGACTTGTGAGGCAATGTGAGAAAGAGACAGACGAGCAGGAGAAAGACATTGTGGGGAGAGACCTGTTCCCTCTAGGACCCTGCTCTGTGGTCCCAGCTTGGGAGACGAGGCCAGAACCTCCAGACTGTTGTGCAAGGCTGGGCGTATAACACCTAACGTCCCAGGACTGACTCCAAGCCAGCCTGAGTTCAGCAAGGCTCCCAAGTCACTGACCTGTTCGAATGCAGCCCAGGGCCACCAGCCACCACTCAGGCACTCGAGGCAGAATGAGGGCCAGGTGATCCCCCTGCTGCAGGCTGCAGGGCCCGGTGAGGATGTTGGCCACGCGGCAGCTTAGGTCCCTCATGTCTCTGAAGTTCCACTTCACCTCTTCTCCTTGGGTACTGATCCACCACAGCGCCGGCCCCGGGCCTCTCTTGCCCTCCTAGTGAAGGGCAAGGTTGGGTACCACGTGTTACTCGCCTCAGAGGAAGAGGCCGCCCCTTGGGACGGTGCTCTGCCACAGTCACAGTCCATAACCTGTGGACTGAGGCCCTACTGTCGACGTTTCTAGAGGCAAGGGAAGTTGGGAGGTTGAGCAGAACCCGGAGAACTTCACACCTACTGTGGCCACCCGCCACCCAAGCTACCCAGGGACCACGAGTGGCCTCCAGGTTTCCTACTGAAGACTCAAAATTCTATTACTCTATATGTCTATATTAGCCCTCTCTGTATCTCAGTTTTCTCACCTGTGAAATGGGGACACCATCATTGCCAAGAAAGTTGTAGAATTTAAATAAATTAATCCTTGAGTAAAACACACATAACAGTGTTTGGCACACAGTAGGCACTCAATAAACATTATTATTATCATCATCATCATCATCATCATCATCATCACCACAACAAAATAAATGAAAAGAGGCTAACTAAATTTTTTTGTTTTAAAAAATTAATTGTATCGGTACATTTTAGATACACATAATGATCACATTCATCATAGGGAATTTGCACCTGTACTTATCTTGATTCTTCTAAAAGAGGCTAACTTGATTTATAAATATTTTGGGAATTTAAAAAACCAGTATGGTTAGGCTGGGGATTTAGCTCAATGGTTCCGCCACCTGCCTGGCAAGCACAAGGTCCTGAGTTTGATCCCTGGTATCAAAAAAATAAAAAAATCAATATACTTGCAGAGCTTAGGACAGACAGCAAGATAGTAGAGTAATGTGCTCTAGGCCCTTGTTTCCTCATAAAAACATTGGAACAGAGTGATTAAAATAGCTTTGTGGAGACAGGCATGGTGGCACACGCCTGTAATCCCAGCACTCGGGAGGCTGAGGCAGGAGGATTGCTGTGAGTTTGAGACCAGCCTGGGCTAAACAGTGAGATCCAGGTCAGTCTCAACTACATAGTAAGACCCTGTTTCAAAAAAACCCCCAAAAACCCAAAAAAACAAAACAAAATAAAATAAAATAGCTTTGTGGGAAATTTAGAAACCAGTCAAGGATATGCAACAATTGAACAAATGTCCACAACAAGAAAAAGTCATAATCAAAATGCAGGAAACTTTATAGTGTTTTTTCCTTGCTCTGCCCACTGCCCCCCCAAGAAGTCAAGGGGGAAACATTCCAATTCCTGACTCCTCTCATGGGATGGAAGAGAGAAAGTGGGACTTGTTTGCAATTTGCTAGCTTGTACAGGGGCGGCCTCAGGAAGTGGTTTCTGTCTTGCCTGACTTGGAGGTCAGATGAGAGTAGCAGAGGAGTTTGCAAATCAGGTTGGAGACCTCTGAGAGCAACAGCAGGTGCCATGGTGGGTAAGAACTGCTGACTTGTGGGTACCTCGGTGCAAGACACTATGGGCAGAGGTTACAATAACAACCAGGCCCAGGGAATTCAAATGCTAGAAAAGACCTGGGATGACTTTGACCCTTTGAAGGTCTGTCTCTGTGGGAACCCAGCCTGCAAAATGGAGAGATGTGGCTGTTTCAAGGCTCAGCTTCCATCCAGGTATCATAAGGTATACAAAGGAACTGGAAAACACACTGAAGGGAACAGAATAAGTCTCCAGAAACTGGCCCTAAAGAAATACAGGCTTAATTTAGTAGACAAAGATTCCACAGTACTGGTCTGAAATATGCTCAAGGGACTAAAAAAGGGAACCACAAAGACCTATAGGAAACCAGCAAAATTATATATGAGCAAAATAATAATAGTGACAAAGGGGTAGAAATTATGGGAGGAAAAAACTAAATAAAATTCTGGATCCAAAATTATGGTAACTGAACTGAAAACTCAGCAATCCATTCACACGGGTAGGTAGAAGAGAAGTCATGTGAAATCACTGAATCTGAGGAGCAAAATGAAGAAAATGTGAAGAAAAATGGACAAAGCTTAAGGGGCTTATGGTACACTATCGAGCAGACTAATATACGCAGTTTGGGAGTCCTAGAAAGGAGATAACAGAGAGAAACAATGGCCCCGGACTTCTCTAACTTGAGCGAAGACATGGCTATACAAATACAAGAGGTTCATCAACTTTAAGGAGACCAATCCCAAAGAGACTCATATGAAGCCACATTATAATCAAAATGTGAAAGCCAAAGCCAGAGTTGATTTTGAAAGCACAAAAGAAAAGCAATTCGTTGCAGATAAGGGACCCTCAAGAAGATAATCAGTGAAACCTTACAAACCAGAACGCAATGGGATAGTATACTTGGTTCTCCTTGATATTTAGATAGCAGAGCATTTATTGGGCTCCTGGAAGGAAAGATAAATTATTAAGATTTGGAACTATGACATTCACTTTCCACTGTGTGGACCAGGGGTCGATGTCAGATCTGGTTCAGAGTTGCCGGGGACCAGGCACCACTGCCAAGAATCAAGAACTAGCAGGCAGCTGCAGGAAGCAGGATAGAGACAACCAGGAGTCCTCAGCTGGTGCCCTCAGCATAGTCCTTCAGAGGGATGGCCGGCAGCAGCCCCTCAGTGGACACGCTTGGGCCAGGCTGGAGACGGCACTTGGAAGAGGAAGGACCCGGCCAGAGAGAAGGGAATATCAGTGGGTGGTGGGAAAGGCACCTGGCAAATGGGCTGGACCGACACAGCCCCTCCACCGAACGCTGCCTTCATCTCTCCTGGGCTAATGAGTTAAGTACGTTCTGGGTGGGTCCAGCTGCAAAGACTACCATCCTGCGCACATGTAACGGAACAAGAAGAGAGTACAGAAGGGAGCCACGGTCCTCTCCATGTTGTTTGCTACTCTGCAGAAGGCTGGGTGGCAGGGAGTGGCCCCAGAACTGTCCTCCCAGCTCGAGGCCAGGCTCAGCCCTCACTTGAGGACAGGGCTTCTGGTCTCAGCCAACTGTCACTTTCCAGGGGATCCTTTACCTGGGTGGCCATTGTGTTTAGCCGGACCCTCGCATCCGGCCACTAGATGGCAGTAACTACCCCTCCGTCGTGACAACCCCCACAGCAGAGTGGGAGAGGTGTGGACAGGACTCACAGCTCCCATGGAATGTCTTCTGGATTGCAGAGCCACCCCAACTGAGAGCCACAGCAAGGAGATCATCGGGGTTGCTGCCTTCTCCTCCCAGTCCCCACGTGGCCCGCGGCTAGGGGGACCCAGACATCGCGAGGCCTGAACTCACATGGCTTTCTCGGGGAAGCCCTGTATCCCTTTGAGTCTTCTTTCTCACGTGTCTTGGGATCTCTTTCTGGGATGCTGGAGTCCCGTGCTGTACCCCGGGGACGCCAGCCCTACCTCCGGCCTGATCCGCACTCGCCTGGCTCAGGATCACTGCCCACGGCCACCCGTGAGCCCCAACATCCCACGGCCCCGCATTCTTGCTTCACCCGGGTCACGGACTCCACTTGACCGTCTTTCCTCAGGTCCCCTCCTGATCAGCCCCGTGTCCTGAGGCACCCTCCTGGGAGATGCCCCCCGCGCCCCGCAAAGGGGTCATATACTTAAACTGCTAAAAGAAGGACAAGAAAAACCGTCAGTCCCCAAATTTATACTCAAATTATACTCAAATCTGAGGGAGAAATTAGGATATTCACAGTAGAAAACTTGTGGGAGTTCGCTGTCATAGGCTTGCCCCATAAGAAATATTACAGGGAGTATTCAAGTCAAACTAAAGGGATTAAAAGTAACTCAAATACGAAAACAAAAAGTCTTCATATAAAGGTAATTACATGCATAAATTCTATATAATTTATAATTATATATAAGTATTATAATTTCATTTTGCAACTCTACTTGCTATTCTTTTATAGTATGTAAAAGAAGAAGCATTAAAGTAATTATAAATTTAGGTTAATTGATACACAATACTGAAATATATAATCTGTGATAACAATAACATAAAGTGGATGTTAGGTAGGACGGAGATGTAAGGAGGAAAAGAGATTCGTATATATTTGAAGTAGTTATGATCACTGAAAAGTAGATTGTTATAGCTACAGGATGTTAGGTACAATCCACATGGTAACACAAAGAAAGCATCTGTAGAATACACAAAAAAGGAAATCAAGATATACCACTACCAACAAATCAACTGAACATAAAAGAAGGCAGTAAGAGAAGAAACGAGGGGCAAAAAAGCTGCAATGCATCAAGAAAACAGCAAAATGGCAAGGAGAAGGGAGGGTTGTCGGTCTGGTTTACTTTTCTGTCACTGTTCTTTAAAGAGTGATTGGCAAATGCCTAGAACTCATGAAGTTTTGGAAGTCTGTAAGAGACAGAATGAGTAAACGTTGGTACGAACATGACCTCTTGTGAATAAATTTGGGGCTGTTCCAGGAATCAACTGAAGATGAGTGAACTATCCTAGGAGCTTATATCACAGTCCTACAGGACGTAATTGCCAAGAGCGACCAGGGGTTATACAATGGCGGCCTGAATCAGGGACCATTTTCCACCCTTAGGCTACGTTGTGCAGCCTACAGGCAACTTTTTGTCTTTTGTTTTCTAATAATTTTTTTTTTGGCGAAGACTAAGATCAATTATATTTCACATAAATGTTAGATTTCTACCTTATACTTTACAGGTTACATATGTTAAAGAAATCAGTCAAAATAGGTGTCATCAGTCTGTAATAGTTTGGGCAATGTTGTGGGTGAGGTCCCGGATGAATGCCAGTGTGGTGCTTGCTAGTTTGTGAGTCTACGGTCAAGGAAGTTGGAAAAGCAGAAGTACAGAGCAGAAAAAGTGCCAGAATGAATACTAATGAGTTACGGGTGCTGGGAGTGGGGAAATTGGGAGATATAAGGAAATGGACAACAAACAGCAGAGCCAACCAAACTCACAGCCTGGCGGGTATTTACTCTGTAGTTACAACTGAGAGTCAGGGCTGGACCTGGCTAACCAGGCCTTCACAGAGACAACTGGGGAAAGGCAATACCATCTCCTCTTCTTCTCTGCTCCTCTTTTCTCCATCCTATTTCACATCTCAAGTTCTTGACAGGACTTCTAGTCTGGGCAATGAAGAAAGGCAGTTTACGCGTTCAACGCACAGGTGTTTTAGCCTCATCAGATTGTGAGACAAGTTAAATAGCCCACTCTGACTCAATTAGCCTGGATCCAAATCCCACTCCTCCACTTGCTAGCTAGGGGATTTCTGCAGGTTTCTGAAACCTGGAAGCCTCAGTTTCCTTGTCCGGAGAATGGGGACGGAAACACTGCCCACCTCGCCAGGGATAAAATACCAAGCGATTGACATGATACATCACATTTTTCTTCCATAACTAAGGGCTTTACTTTTCTTGGGTCATTAGGAAAACTCAGAAGAAGGAAGAAGAAGAGGAAGATAGCATAGAAGGCACGTTTGTGGGAATCTTCAAAACTGTATCAAGTCTCCAAGTCCATCTCAGGTGAATCCTCTCTGAATACGAAGATGGGTGTTGGGTGAGGTTGGCTGCTAGATGAGCAGCGTTTCAGATGCCCTGCACACATGCAGAAAGTCTATTCCCTTCTCTGGGTAGATGCAAAAGCTAAGTCCACATTTGATGAGTAAATTCCTGTTAGATTCAGTGCTCCTTTCATTGAAGGTAAAAATTCAGGCTAACGTGAACTTTCTGACTTCAGGATTAAAAGTTTGCATTCAGTCCCAATTACGGAGCGCTGACTGCATACCAAATATGTCATTTCAGTCATTTTCAAAAAACAACTTTGTCCCCATTTCACAGATAAAAGCACCGATGCCCAGAGATGTGAAGAAGGTAAATAAGCTGGGAGGTGAACAATGAAGTACAAAGGGGATAGAAAACTACAGTGAATGTTTAAATTTTTAAAAAGTTTACACTGTAAGACACATTACCAAGAACAATGGTATACAGGCGTCTGAAGTGAAGGAAAATATTTCGAGTACTTGGGGGGATTAATGGCAATGTATTGTTCATTGTCATAAAATTTTAAAACTTAAACATTCATCTTATGCTCTGATCATCCCTTGTCGACCAGCGGTTTATGGCAATTTCTGTCAAATAAAAACATAGCAGTGTGTCCTTATCTACTTAATCCACTGGACCTGGCAGCATGAAACTTCTGGCTCTTTCCTGACATAAAACTGAGCATAACGGGTCAACATTTTCAATCCATGCAGGACTTTGAGGCAGCCGGGATAGGGCAGCTAGAGACTTTCATGAAAGAGGACTTCCAGGACTGCTTCAGAAAGTGGCAAGAACAGTCATACATGGTGGCGCACACCTGCAATCCCAGCACTTCGGAGGCTGAGGCAGGAGGATCGCTACGAGCTCAAGAAAAGCCTCGGCTGCAGTGTGAGTTGGAGGAGACCGTGTTTCAAAAAACAAAACAAAACAGCACCACAAAACAATAACACAACTCCAAAACTAAACGACAACAAAGAAAGTGACCAGGACAGTGTTCAAAGTGGAGGGGAGCGTTTTGAGGGGGACTTGTAACAATGTTTCTTTTACTGTGATAAGTTCAAACACTCGGACATTCACTGTGTATTTTAATCATACCTTGTACAACCTCCTCTCACTACACTGCCATCCTGGGGCAGAAGCTGCCCTTGATTCAGGGCTGCTCAGCCTAGTAAGAGCAAGACAAGGACACTTGGTTCCCACCTCCCACCACCCACTTACCTTCTCCATTTGAGCCCAGTAGTCCATCACGTCACTTGCAAAGTTAAATTCCTTGGGCATATCGTGGTCACTCCATCTTGGAGCCCCAACTCCTGTTAAAGGCTGGCAACCCAAGTGAGCAGGGGCAGGGTGCAGGGCACGGAGGGATCTGTGGACTCCCCAGAGGACCCGGAACCTCACGAGCCACTGCATAGTTCTCAGCAACTGGACACGGAACTCTCAGGTCCGCACCTGTCTCAGGGAGAGGTGGCTTACAGTTTGGCTGTGCAGCAGGACGTTTCTCCAAGTAGTGACGCACGTTCTTGGATCACAGCCAAAGTCCTAGCACGGTGTCCATTTACCGTAGTCTGGAAGACATGGCTTAGATGGGCAAAGTAGCTTCCCAACCAAGGGACCACAAGGCACAAAATGCCAGGGAGGAGCTGTAGCTACTACATGTGTGCTATACATTCTGGGGATCTTTTCAGATTTAAGCCCAGGGTGGCAGCCACATGATGAACTCTTCTGCAGCAGAAACTGACTATTTTGCAGGTTCTATGCCCCGGCTCTTCTTACACTGAAGACTTCTCCTCGCATCAAGCCCAGTCTTGTGGTTCTCACGGAAGCTGTCTGATATTCCATTCTTTCGCTCAAGCTGTTAGGCCCAGGGTTGAGCAGTCCTATGATTTCTTTTTTTAACCTAAGCCTGACCATCTGTAACCCTTCAAATTGGTCTTGTGTATAATCAGTGCCAAAGAGTAGGCAGGTGTGTCTCTATCCAGGGAAAGCCATATAACACGCACTGCGAGAGAGCTGTCTGGGGCTACGAGTCCTTTTCTGTGGGAAGAAAGCAGCATACGGAGGTGTGGAGAAGCAAGGCAGCCCTATGCCTGAAGACACTGGAGTCACTGGTTTTTACTGGTCCTGAGCTCTCTCTGCCTTTCTCTTCTTAACATTCTTCCGGGGACTCAGAACCAATGATTCCTTCTTTCCCTGAGTTTGGATTTTCGCCACACGGGACTATACAGATTCTCACAAACGTACACCATCTTCAGGGCAGACACTGTTAGTAGGCCAACACCTTCTTTACCAGACTGGGTCTAGTCTCCAGATTTCCCTAGGATGGTATCTTGGGCAGTGATTCCCAACCCATCAGACAGAGTGAACTCAGGGAACGAAACCTCTTTGCCCTTTCAGGGCCTGAAAAATGTTTCCACCAGGGGGACAGAACTCACTTAGCTCCTTCTAGAATTTTGACTGTGAAATTGGCTTAAACAACCGTCTACCTACTTTCCATAAAAGTGCTTTTGTGGTTGTTCTGGCTTTAAGCTGCTAGAAAAACCTGTATTTGGGAGTTTCAGTGTCATAGCTCGGATGGAGATGCCCTAACTGGTGTCAGTAACTACACTGTTGGCCTCTGCAGATCTACAAGGTTCTAATTTTATTGTAGAAGTGAGTACCCTGCAGGGTGTAAGCCCCTGAACACAGGTTCTTCACAGAACAAATGCTTGCTAATTGTCACTTCAAATTTTACTTTATTTACAATTGACCAGTAATCATTTTCTACACTTATGGGGTAAAAGGTGATGTTTTGATCTATCAATGAAAATGTTGGTGGAAGACAGCCACTGCAAGACAGGCGGCAGCACCACTGAGCTAATCCCTGGCCCAATATTCTACTTTTTGACAATAAATTAATAGACCAGATGAGTAAAACTTGTAATGGCCAGAGATACTGACCTGCCCTTTTTTACAACGTGTCACAGACTTGGTGAAGCTGAGAATCGTCTACTTCAATTAAATGGCATTTTCTCCAAGGTGACCTGACTCCTAGTTTTCCTCACACCAGCCTGCTTTTCTACTTAGTATAGCTGTTCAGCCTCTATTGACACAAGAGCTTAAAATTCCTAGGCGGGCACCTCCTGAGGGACAGGGTTTTCCTCAAAGTTGTAAGACTACCGCATCTGCTGGTTTTACCAAAGCATGCCTCCTTCTACAGGTGTGAGCTGATTTAGGAGCACTCCAGACTTACTGTCTTTCTACACAGACGTTTTAAAACTCATTTTCCCCCAATGGCCCTTAAAAAATAGCTAAAAACCCAAACAAAAGGGAGAGACATAATGAAAAAATTTGTCAGCCTTTTCTGATGGGCTAGATTGTGTCCCCCAATACGTATCTGTTGGAGTCCTAACGCCCTCAAATTCAGAATGTGACTGTGTTTAGAGAAGGCAGTTGTGTTCAAAATGAGATCACTGGGCCTGGCCCTAAGACAACATGACTGGTCTCCTTCTAAGAGACTAGGAACACAGATGCACAAGAAAGGACAATGCCACGGGAACACGAGGACAGTCAGCTACAAGTCAGGAAGAACGGCTTTCCAATTATCCCTTGGCTCTCAGACCTCCTGCCTCCAGAACTCTGAGAAAATACCTATGTGTTAGGTCACTCGGTCTGTGGTAATTTGCCATGGCTGTTCTGTTGAACTAATACAAACAGTGCTTGATATTTGATAGTGGAAAATAAATAAGAAAGAACTGACCGGGGCATCATCTTATAAATATGTTTGCAGTTCTAATTTAATCTTCATCATCTGAGAGGATGTGGCAGAGGAGAGGGTGGCCTCAGGAGCCAAAAAGCACAGGTTCAGACTCTCGCCCCTCAGCCCTTTATCATTTCGAGCAATTTACTTAAACTCTCTCTAAAAACACTAGAAAATCAGCAACACCTGAGGCCGAGGTGACGAAAACTTGGCACACTAGGAAAATGAGTAATTCATTGTTAACACGCTCTGTGAAACTCTCCCAGTGTAATTAAGCTTGCCGCCCCCCAAAATGGCTTCTTAACCTCTAGGGTAGGGTGGAAGGGAGGAAGTGGGGAGAGATTCCTAAATGGACACTGCAGGGTCCAGAGTTACCCTATGTGCAGGTACAGAGAAACTTGATCTCACACAGTTCAGAAGACTAAAAGTCATAGCTATACAGGGGTGAGCAAAATGGCAAATGCTTGAATGGAAAAATTACTACAGTAAAAGGCATATTGACATTAGTCACTGTCAACATACTCTCCTTCAATTTAAATCACTTATCCCACTTTTCTTGCCACTGTCTGGAGCATTTCTGGAGGTTTTTTCAAGTGTTTTTATAAGGTGGGATCCAAATTAGAGTGAATGTTGCTGTTGAGCGCCATCTCATGGAAAGGCAAGCTTATAAAAATACCACAGCAACCAGGCGTGGTGGTGCGCACCTGTAATCCCAGCACTGGGGAGGCTGAGGCAGGAGGATCGCTATGAGTTCGAGCCTGCGCTACATGGGGAGTTCCAGGTCAGTCTCAACTACATAGTGAGACCCTGTCTCAAAAGCCCCCCCCCAAACAAACAAACAAACAAACACCACAGCATGTCCTCATCCTCCTGATACACTGGATCTGGCACTGTATAACGTTTGGTTCTTCCTCCCGATCAAACCGACCCTGAGAAGGAACTATTGTGAATCCTTAGGAACGTGGAAGGGCCCGTGACAGCACAACTAATGATATTCATGAAAGAGGACTTCCATGACTGGCCCAGAAAGTAGCAAGAAAGATAGAATAAGTGTGTTCAAGGTGAGGGGAGTACTTGAGAGGGGCGATTGAGAATGTACTATTTACAGTAAGAAATTTTTTAAAAAGGTACACATTCACCATTATTTTTGATCACACAGCATATGCATATTTATCTTTAGCTACGTCAATATCTATAATGTACCTATACATCACTATCTATATACCTACAATCCTATATATCTATATTTCTATAAGCACTCTATACCTATAATTCTGTTGATTTCTACAGATCAATGACTACATCTACACTAAGTCTACAGCTAGCTATCCCTCCCAGTGTTTGATATATAGTAAGCGCTCAATAAGTAGTCAGACTCTTCCCTTTTCGTCATAATTCAGTAAGCAGGGTGAGAAAAACCAGTGAACCCACACACTGTCTGAACTATAGAAAAATATACTGTTCATTTCTATAAGGTGTTTATTATAAGGTACCATGGATGGTTTTAGACACCACCAGGAATTAATCAGACTGAAAGAGTTTCTACCCTCTTGGGATGCATGGACTAAGCGTGTCCAATGATATAGTTTTAAAGAACAAACTTTTGAAATACTTTGAAGCGCTTTGCGAAATCAACATGGCCCTATGACTTTGGGAGGTGCCTTGGCTCAGGATTCTGTGCTCAGGCACACAATACCTCGAACATTTTCTGCAACCAACTGACACTGTAAGCTGCTGGACTCAAGAAGCTATTTAACGAGGCCGCAGACTTAGTGGGTTATAGGGGACAGAGTGAGGGTTTAACTTCTGGATCGGTGATTTTGGATACTGTTCACGTCTTTAGGCTTGAGAGTAAATTCATAACTTACTTCCTAGGCTGGGGATTTAGCTCAGAGGTTCTGCCGCCTGCCTCTAAAGCGCAAGGACCCGAGTTTGATCCCTGGTGCCAAAACAAACAAACAAAAAAGCCCAACTTACTTCCCAATTTCCCGTAAGGACTGTCGAGGTAATCTGCATAAAGCACATGGCTAGCACACAGTCCGGTACACAGTAAGGGATCAATCCTTGTTGAGACACCCATCAGTTCCCTACACTCGCGAAGCCGATTCCCTCCTCATTAGACTGCTTTTAGGCATTTTATGAAAGGCACCCACTTTACAGAAAGGGAACCAACTTCTGCACAGCGAAGCTTTCTATCATGCACTCCCCTCCTGTCCCTACACCTTCCTTCCGACCCTGAGGGGCCTGACAGTCAGCCGATCACCTCTAGGAGCCTGCAAGACACACAGCACGTATAGAATCCCTAGCACCCCTCTGACTCACTGTCACCATCCTCATTTCGCTGTTGAGGAAATGAAGTGTCAGAGATGTTAAGTGACTTGTCCAGAGTACCATGTGAGTGGCATCGCCAGAAATGGACAATTTCACATTGGACTTTTACGTTTAGGGCTTCTGTGGCGTGTGCATGAGCGTCCCCCACACCAGCCTGTTGCCATTTGCCTTTGTCTTACCTGACGTTCAGGATGCAGGGAGGCTGTGTCCAGGTAGGCTTCGTAGATCCCGTTCTCTGTACCCAAGTCCAGGACTATGTGTGAACCCAGCAGAATGTGGCTCCTGGCTGAACCTTGAGAGCAGAACCTGTCTGGAATTGGATGATTCAACAGGGGGAGGAGACGCTCAGTAAAATAGGGCAGAAAGCAATCGCAGGGCCTCCCACAACAGTCAGAGGAGCAATTCATGTGAAGCCACCACCAGCTTTTCCGGGATGAATACCAGCCAGTGAATACCTTCAGCCCTTCTTCACGGGGAGGATTATATGTCACAAAGTCCGTAGAGCGCCTGGCCCCTGCATTTGGACCCCGGTTTTACCATCGATGTTGTGTTGTTAACCTAGGTTGTCATGGGACAGGGTCTAGACTTCTGGTTTTTTGCTGGAGCCATTTGGGGGTTATTAGAGAACGAGGATCCTCTAGGATTCTGGTCCAGTTTTCCCAGCACACTTACTTGCTCAGCTCCTTTTGAACCTGGGAGAGAGCTACCTCTGCTCAAAGTCACCGCCAAGATTGCAGGAGGCAGATTTCTGAGAAGTGGGGCTTGCGTTCCCTGGCTGGTTCATTTGGGGTGAAACTTTCATCTGGGCTTTCCTTTTAGGGAGAAGAGTCCGTGAGCAGGGCGGGAAAGGTGACTGACCACAGTAAGGTACATATTAAACTCTCAAAGAATCAAAGTACAAACATTCTACTGCTGAAACAGAAAAGGGGTCACCTTTGAGAAGAGAATTCAGGCAAGACAGAGAGACCAGAACACACAGTTTACATCTCAGTGGGTGTCCCCATCCGAGCTGTAACACCGCGTGGGGCAAAGGGAACAGTGGCTTGAGGCCAGGCAGCCTGGGTTTGAGTCTAGCTTTTACCAGTTACCACCTCCGAGGCACTGAGCAGGGTTCTAATCCCTCTGTGCCTCAGTTCCCTTATCTGTAACGAACGGTGGGCGGTAGAGAGAGCAGCAAAACTGTCCGGAGAGCTGACTCACACTTTCCTGCCATCACCCCAGGTCACTGAATGCCAGTTCTGGGCAGGGAACTCCAGGTGACAGGCACAGGGCCTTTAAACGGTATTAAATGCTGTATTCGCTTTTCTTCTGAGTTAATGACGCTGGAAACCATATGTGGAGATAGAGGCATCTCAAGATGGCAGAGGCTTTTAATCAACCTACTTCTCTGGGTGAATTTATATAGAGAATCTCCTGTTTTTTTGAATGGGGGCACTGGGGGTTGAACTTGAGGCCTTTGCAGAGAGCTGCACACCCGGAACTATTTATTTATTTATTTAATTTGAGACGGGGGCTCAAACTTGTAACCCTTCTGCCTCAGCCTCTCCGGCACAACAACCTGGACCCTTTATATCCACTGCTCTTCGCATCCTATAACAAACTTATCATTAATTTATTTACTGAAGAGACAATGAGCATCTTCTAGGCGTGAACATGGCTTCGATCACACCCGCCCGTGATTACTGCTCCCAAAACTTTGTGTTCCCATGACAGAGAGGCAAAAGACAATAATCAAAAAGTCCACTAAGTAGATGAGAGTTCAGATGGGGGTGTACGGCAGGAAGAAAATGGAACAGGGTGATAGGACGGTGTGACTCTGGAAATAGGAAGAGGGGACGTGTTGAAATCTGAGAGAGAAGCGGCCAGCTTTGAGGAATGAGTTGCAGAGAGAAGTAACAGTAAGTCCAAAGGTGTGAGGCTGATATCTTACAAGGGACAGATGGGAGACTGGGATGCAGGTGCCTGAGTGAGAAGTGTGCTAAAGAGTGAGTCAGGATTTTTGATTATTGTCTGTCTCCTCTATCACAAAGTACAAAGTCTCTGGGAGCAGTAATCTTGGATTCTCATGAAGCGTCTGTTAAATGGATGACTGTGCCATAGCACTGTTATAGGACTAAGAGGGTACTGAATGTAAAGGGCTCAGATTGCCACGCCTGTATTCTAGCTCTCTGGGAGGCTGAGGCAGGAGGGTCTCAAGTCCAAGCCCAGCCTGGGCAATTTAACATAAAGAGAATGAATGAATGAAACAAACAAAACACAGGCAGGAGACATTCCAGGAAGGGCCTTTACAACCACAATAATGAGACTGGATTCTACCCTAAGGGCACTGGGAAGATTTGAGAGGATTTAAGAAGAAAGAGACATGAAATGAATTTCCTTGGTTACTTAATTTTGAACTAAAATAGGAAAGTAAAACATTAGGGAAAGTAACAGATTTCTGATTTAGAAAGTCCAGGCCTGTGAAGGGGCAAGAGTAGGCATGGGGGTGTTCATTAGGTAGCTGCTACAGTTGTCAGCAAGTAATAATGGACACTCAGACAAGAATGATGACTCCAGCCAGGCGTGGGGGCGCATGCCTGTAATCCCAGCACTCAGGAGGCTGAGGCAGGAAGATCGCTGTGAATTTGAGACCAGCCTGGGCTATATAGTGAGTTCCAGGTCAGTCTCAACTACATAGTGAGACTCTGTCAAAAAAAAGAAAAAGAATGATGGCTCTGGAGATGGAGAGGAATAAGAAAGTACAGGGTAATTAGGAAGATTTGCTCATGTTTTGCTAGAGAACAAAAAAAGAAGAAAGGATGGATCTCAGCCTTTGGGCTTCTGCAGTGATATACAAGGTAGGTCCGATTTAAATACGAAGAAACTGATGTTAGAAGATTCTATAACATGTCTAAAGTCACAAGGTGACATAAAGCATTGAATAGAATGTGAATCCTGCTTTTATTTAGCCTATTTTTCCCTGCTCAAGCAGCTAACAATATTCGCCCCTGTCTTACTCGCCAGACTGCTCTATTTGAGGTCCTAGCTTCTTCTACCCGGAGTACACACATGAGGTTGGTCACCTGAGATCGTTCTTGTCCTGAAGAATTAGTAATGGGACAAATGGCTGAGGAATGTGCGCACCCACGCTGACTAGTGACAACAGAGGTGCAGACTTTATTCACCTGGGTAGAGCGGACTGAAGGCCAGTAGGGGGCTGTCAGTGCTGAGCAAAGAAAAGGCAGGGAACTTTGTAGGGTACTGGGAGAGAGGTCTGGCACGTCCCCCACACGCAGGGGTCAGAGGAAATATTTGTGGCTGGGGTCCATGCGGTGAGCAAGGCAGGTGACATTTTCAGGCGACTTGGCATTGAGAAGACGCTGTACTTTGTAGCTGTTAGGCCTGTGCTGGGAACATTCCAGCCTGAGCTCCGTGTTCTGTCTGCTCTGAGACAGCACAGCTTTCTCTTTTGCTTTTGTTTTTGTTTTATGAGGCAGGGTCTCCCTCTGTAGTTCAAGGTGGCCCTGAACTCACTATGTAGCCTGGGCTGGCCTCGAACTCGTGGCGCTCCTCCTGCCTCAGCCTCCCGGAGAGCTGGGATTACAGGCGTGCGCTGCCACGCCCCGCTGACAGCACAGCTTTTGTCGGGTGGAGATGGCAGGTGCATCACTACGTGTCGGTGTCTTGTCAAACTGTAGCTTGGAATTAAAGAGCATATTCATTAGCATTTTCAACGGCCAGGCCAAGCCTGACAGGGAAGAACTCTCGTTGCCTGTTTCTTACTTGTCAGCCTTGTCAGTCAGCTCTGAGAGGAAAAAAAAAAAAAAAAAAAAAAATGCGGCTCTAGAACTGAAAATACTACCGAATCTCTATGGTTTCATCTGTGCTGTGTCCAACCCACCAGAATCCAACAATGCCTCTTCTCTTCATCTCAGATCCGGTCGCGCATGGACTGACATCCTGTGGGATGCACTACTAGAAACAATGTTTAGGAGACACTCGCCAAAGCTTAGCCCATGGCAAGTGCTTCTCCAAGGGCAGCTATTATTGTTTTTAAAAAGAGACTTCAGAGTTAGATGAGTTGTTACCTCTGGTACAGAGCCATAGGGGTCCTGACAAAATTACTGCAACGCTTTGCTTGTATTTCCTCCTCTGAAAATGAGAACGGCAGAAACTGCTTCGTGTGACTTCTGTGACAGTTACAGGAGATGGTACACATAGACTGCTTAGGGCAGTGCCAGCCGAGGGGATGAGCGCTACTGTTATTACTACTTATTAAGACAGGGGTATAGCAAGAGAGAAGAAATGGTTACCTCTTAAATCTCTCTTACAGGAAGGAACTTATAGACAAAGCCACACACACACACACACACACACACACACACACACACACACCCCACCCCACTAATACTCCTCAAAATACTCCTCTTAACTTTGAATACATTAATCTCATTGTTCTTGCTGCTTTTGGAACTAGCTCTGGAGTCCTCTTTCATGAATGCCTCTAGTTGTGCTGTTGTGGTTGCCTTCATGTCCTGAATCGACTCAAAATGCTTACTTTTTATAGTCATTTTCACTTTGGGGAAGACCCAGAAGACACACCATGCTAGATCCGGTGAATAAGACGAATGAGGACATGCTACAATATTTTCTACTGGACGGCACCTGGCAGCTGCATTCACCAGGTTTTTGATTGCACCTTGAAAAGCTATTGTAGTATATTGTAGTATGGTACCTCGGTTCATGAACCAGGGTCATGTTTGTCACCAGATGCAGCGCTCGAAAAACAAAAACAAAATTTTGCCCAACACTTCTGTTTGTCAACCAAATTGCAAACAAAAGCATTCCTGAATCAAGGAACCACTGTAGTTTCTTTCCTTTATAGGTGAAGAAACTGAGACTCAGAAAGTTTTCATGTCTGAATAATGTGGAATCAAACCTACTGAATGTTCATTACACGTCAACTCTTTTACCTAAAAGGTTCAAGTCACACGAAACCTTATGGGGAAGGTTTTACTTATGAGAGTGTCGACACTCAACAATTCAAGCTTTCTGTCCAGTTCCCATAGCTAGGATACGACAGAAAGAATATTTGAATCTAGATTCACTGACTTCTTAGCTGTTTAGTCCTCACATTCGATCACCAGCACAAGTTCATCCTGGGAATCACCTGCAACTCAAAGAACTTACAATTCTTGGAGATAATGCTGTGTCTTAATTTCTAGGATCAGCAGGTCTGGGTCATAGCAAGTGAAACTGTCCTGAGGCAGAACAATGTGTAGCTTGAAACTTCCATACCGATTCTGATCCACAATGCTGTCTTCCACTAGCCTGAGACCCCCCTAAGCCATGGTGCCATCCAAGAGCATTTCTTACAGTTATTTTTAATTGAGTTAAAAATCTATATGCTCACAAGGAATGGACCGAGTGGCAGAGAATAATCTTATCCTTCACAAGAAGAAGCAGTAATGTTTCGCTTTGTGAACAAGTTGGGTGGCAAACAGAAGCATTTAGGAAAACTTTGCTTCCATTCATGAACTTCACAGCGGGTGACAGACATGACCACGGCCATCTTCCCCCCACAAACACCAACATGGCCGTCTTCCCCAGAATTGTGTGACGAGTGAAGTTCGTGAACCGAGGCACCACTGTATAATTACAGAACCTCCACTTCCACTAGTGGAGGAGAATCTTCTGGAAGACCAGCCTTCTGACAGATGCCAGTTACTAACTCTGGGAAAATGTTTGAAAACACTATCAGAATGTACTAGAAAGCAAGCAAGGCAGACAGAAATCAGAGGTAGTCTGTATGTGGA